GTTAAAGAATTGTTGTGTTTGTGTAAATTGAATTAGTCTCTTAGCAATTATCATAGGCCGGAAATGACCTTCCTTTCAAGTTTTCATCCATCATAATGTATGAAATTTATCTAAATTAGGCGTTTACATATACAAATATACACTATATGAGCAATGTTGAGCTTTATATTTTATGAGTCTAAAAGGGATGAACGTTAACTCTTGAGTGGTTATGCAAAGTATTAAGTATGTGTATATAATATATGTTAGATATATGACTAATTACTTAACTGGTTAATTTGGTTTGACTGGTTAGGAGTGTCTGAAACCAAACCAAACCACCTAAACCAAACAAGCTAAAAACTTTAACCAAACCAAACCAATTATCCAAATTAACCAAACCAAATTATCCAAATAGTACCGGTTAAAACGGTTACCACGGTAACCAAATCGTTTGAACACCCCTACTTTCCACATCAAAGTACGGTGAAGGGATGAACAAATCAAATTATAAAACTGCTTTTCTAAACTTTATATTTTTCGGAAAAAATCCAAAACTACAACTGTTTAAAAAAAATTACAAAAATACCACCCATTCCCAACAATTTTCAAAAATACCATCGTTTATTTAAAACCGCGCCTCCTGGCAGCGTTTTACAATATAACCGCCTTGCCAAGAGGAGTTTTTAATTTCCAGCAAAAAACGCTTCTGGAAGGCGCGGTTATATACTAACCCTACCACAAAACGCTTCAAGAGGGAGCGTTTAAATGTCGGCATGATAAACCGCTACACCAGGCAGCAGTTTACCATGTCCAGACATAAACCGCTGCCCCAAGGCGCGGTTTGTGCCTGGTCACCCGACAGCAAACATGTCGGCATGCAAGGGGTGGGGCTGCATGGCAGACCTAAAACCGCTCCCCCCCTCCCCCCCCCCGGTTTTGCTGCAAAATTTGCCTATAAAAGGCTGTTTCAGAGAACTCAAATTCTTCACACTCCTCCTCTTCCTTCTTCAAATTTCAGTTTGCACCTTTAAATAATTTAGTTTTTGCGATTAACGTTAATTCGTAAGTTTGTTTTGTATTACTTTTCATTGTCCTTTGTGATTTTATGTTAGTAACTTAATTACTTTTCATTGTCCTTTGTGATTTTATGTTAGTAACTTAATTACTTTTCATTGTCCTTTGTGATTTTATGTTAGTAACTTGTATTACTTTTCATTGCAGATGGCATTCCAAAGGTTCACGCTTGGATTGCGGTGGAATGGTTACACGGAAGAGACCGAAAAGGGTGTAAGTTACGTCGGTGGCAAATGAAGGTCCGTACGAGACCGATGCTTGAAGAGATCCATCAAATATGCACTCAGATTACCTGCATGGATGGCACTATAAGAGTTGATCAAATGGTGTATCGATATCCAAACAGAAATGACGGGTCGCTGATGAGGAATTCCTCCTTACCACTCAGGAGGACGTTGATGCCATGGTCCAATTTTTGACCACCAATAAAATTAAGCAAGCGGAGATGTTCGTTTACACCGGGGCCGTCGAAGGCAGTGTAGGTCATTCTGGAGATGGTCAAACATCTGGTATCCACGGTGGGAGTGTATTATACGAAGATCATCCCCACTAGGATTTCCAAGACTCGAGCTGGAGGCAGGAGTATCATCATGGAACTGGAGGAAGTCATCAATCCTTCCCTTCATATGAATAAGAAGCTCAACAGGCGGATCACAACCAACAAGCAGGCTACCAGTACCCACCCGAGTACAACTTCTATCAAAGCGGTGTTAGTTACCACAACTACCATTTCGGAGCTGGTGAAGGTGAAGGTGCCTTTCATGATGATAATCAGATGGAAGAAGAGGTCAATCCAAGTCCAGTTAGTGACCTTGAGGTTGAAGAAGAGGAAGGCGAAGTTAGTGCAGACAGCTTCGATCCGCTGGAAGGTGCTGATGATTCCGGTCCAGATTCAGACGCAGATGGTGATGAGGAACCTCGCGACCGTGTACCTATTCCATACTACAATCACATTCAAAATGAAGATTGGTATGTTGATGCCGACATGGACCCGCCAGATGTGCCATTATGGGGTCCACTCACTGACTTTACAAAGGGCCAACAATTTGCAACGAAGAATGAGGTCCGACACGCTATTTACACTGAAGCAATGACTCGGAGTTTTGAATGGCAAACAACCCATTCCGACACAAAGAGGCTGATGGTTCAATGCAAAAATGAAAATGAGGGATGCAAAGCCAGGGTCCGGGCCATCAAGAGCAAGAGAGTCGGCCATTGGGTCATATCCCGTGCGGTGAACACACACACATGTGTGTCATCAATAACATCCCAAGGCCATCGACAGTTGAAATCAAGGGTGGTTGTCGCGGCTATCAAACATCTAATTGAGGAGCAGCCCGACCTGAAGGTAAAAACCATCATCGCCCACATTTCTAGTCGTTATGGTTATATCATTAACTACAAGAAAGCGTGGCATGGGAAACAGAAAGCAATGGCTGCCGTGTTTGGTGACTGGGAAGAATCATATGCATTCCTTCCCAAATTGATTTTGGCGTTAGAGGTGTCTAACCCTGGCACCATTTTCTCGCCTCGCTACCAAGATGAAGAAATTCAACCGCCGGTGCCTGGTAACAAGCGCCAATTCAAGCGTCTTATCTGGGCATTCAAGCCATGTATTGATGGTTTTCCATACTGTGTTCCTGTGATTCAAGTTGATGGAACATTCCTTACCGGCAAGTACAAGGGTACTCTACTGATCGCCAGCGGAGCAGATGCAAATAGATTAGTATATCCATTAGCCTTTGCCATTGTGGAGGGAGAGAATACCGATAGCTATGGATGGTTCTTCAGACAAATTCAGCTCCATGTCACCAGGCGGATGAACCTGACTATCATCTCAGATCGCCATGCCGGTATACAAGATGCTATCTTAGGCTTGGATCCAGCTTGGAACTGGTCATAGAGATGGTGCATAAGACATTTCAAGAGCAACTGGAACCATCATTTCAAGCGAAAGAAGCTTGTTGACAGTCTATGGTGGATCGGTAAGCGTTCTAATTAATTGTTATATAAATTTTGTCAACTGTATAAAACGAGGACTAATCAATACAATACAACACTTATTTAGACTCTTTATAAAGAAATGCATGTCTAAGGAAATGGGGACTTAAGCGATCATCGTGATCCCCCCATGACCTAGGAAAATCGGGTTCTAAGCGATCCTTGGAAACCCCCTTTTCTGTCAAAAAGACTGTGTTTCTAAGGAGATGTATACCTCTCCTAAGAGTCTTGCGAGTGTACTTGTATTGGCAATAAGGTCGATCTTGCTTACCTTACGTTTTTTTTTTATATTCATCAGCTATCGCGTACCAAGAGAAGAAATTTAAAGAGAAGATGCAGAATATCCGTCAGATATGCCCTGAAGGTGCGCAGTGGCTTGATCAACATGACCTTGAAATGTGGACGTTTCGTAAGGACGGAGGTACCAGATGGGGTATTGCCACAACAAACTCAAGCGAGAGTATCACAACGTCTGCAGGGAATGTCGTGCACTCCCCATCTCTGCAATTGTTGAGATGACATTCTGGAAAACAAACGGATGGTTCGTCAACCGTCTCCACTGGTGTGAGAAGAGGGAGGCACAGGGTAAGGTACACTCCGATTATGCCACAAAAATAATGGATACTTGGCCCTTGGACAATGGTGGATGACCATCCGCATCGTGATCTCCCTTTTCTGGCGGACACAACCCGGTGACCGTCCATATAAAATGCTGCCAACCACTCATATTGGCAACAACTTTAGGTGGTGGCGTAGAGTCCACACAAACAACATCACCATCGATGGGCAGATCGGTTAGGATGGCGATGTCCTTAAGTGTGATGGTGCACTCGCCTTCACGAAAATTGAAGCAGCGTGTCTCCTTTCGCCATCTCTCTACCATCGCAGTGATGAGTTGGCGGTCGATCTTGATTCTATTATAAATGCCTAATCGAATCCAATCTTGCCCTTTTTAGAAAGGGCAAGATGGCGTCGTTCCATTCAAGCACATTCGTCGTGCCCCTATAGCGGACTATATGGTATGCATCCTAGAGAAAAATTTAAATTTCACTATAAGTTTATGATTTATACATATATAAATATATTATAAGATGCAATATTAATTAAATCAAGGTTGTTTTATAGAAATATACATTATCTAATAAACATTAATTATAACATAACTAAATAATATTATAAGATGCAATATTAATTAAATCAAGGTTGTTTTAGAGAAATATTTATCTAATAAAAATTAATTTTAAAATAACTAAAATAATTTTCTAAGATGCAATATTAATTAAATCAAGGTTTTTTTAGAGAAATATACATTATCTAATAAACATTAATATTAACATAACTAAAATAATTTTCAAAATTTAAGTATACTTATTTTTTGTACACATACACATAAAATCAAATATATTATTTTGTTAATCGTATTGATTATTTTCAATAATTTAAAGCAATACAAGTACACTCGTAAGACTCTTAGGAGATGTATACATCTCCTTAGAAACACAGTCTTTTTGACAGAAAAGGGGGGGATCCAAGGATCGCTTAGAACCCGATTTTCCCAGGTCATGGGGGGATCATAATGATCGCTTAAGTCCCCATTTCCTTAGATATGCATTTCTTTATAAAGAGTCTAAATAAGTGTTGTATTGTATTGATTTAAATTATTGAAAATAATCAATACGATTAACAATTAAGTAAATTATTGTACACAAAAATAAATTACTTTAACAAAATACAAATTACAAGTGATGATAAATAATATGTACCTTGTGGTCGTTCCAAACGTCTCTTGAACGATGATTAGCTTGATCCTATAAAACAGACGGATCGATCGGTCCTTGATCAACACAATAGCGTTGATTGTAAATATCAACATTCGGCCCAACCTACGATAGCATAACAACATAAATCAATTAGTATATAAATTAAATAAATCATTATAACAACAACAACAATTGGGTAAAATGAGTACGTACCGTTTGATAATCATCATAGAAAAGGCCCTCTTCTTGGATGAAATTGGTCATTTTTTCGAAATCCGGTCAGAGGTTCGACGGTTTTTTAGTGAAAACCAAAGAAAAAGTTTTTTGAAGGCAGATCGGACTTAGCCGCAACCAACAAAATAACTAATTCTAAGGTTTTGGGTGGGGAGGGGGGTGGGTAGAGTGAGAAGTTAGAGGGAGAGAGGGAGGAATGGGTTTTGTGTGCAGAAAATGGGAGGGGGAAGGGGGGGGGTTTATATAGGGACGAAACCGCGTGAGAGAGGGGCGATTTCGTCCTTTTACCCCGCCTAAAACCGCGCCTCCAGCACGCGGTTAGCGTTCCCCAACAGTCAAACCGCGCTTCGGGGGAGCGGTTTGACTGAGCGACGCGGATCGCTGGCTGGCGCGCAGTTTGGCCGTCAGATCGCTCCCTCATCGCGCGGTCTGATTCACCGCCACGTGGCCACGCGGTTTGACAGGCAGGAAGAGTCAAACCGCGCCTTGGAGGTGCGTTTTGTGCTCTAACCGCTGCTAGGAGGCGCGGTTTTAATATTAACTGCTCATTAGAGGCACGGTTTTAAATAAACGATGAGATTTTTGGAAATTGTTGGGAATGGGTGGTATTTTTGTAATTTTTTTTAAACCGTGGTAGTTTTGGATTTTTTCCATATTTTTCTCTCTCGATAGTAGTCGTAGCAATATCACTAAAGACCTTTGCACAGCATTAGAGACCTTTTGCAAAGTTGAATCTGTAGTAGTGGAGCTCTTGGGAAATTATCATAGGAATAAAAGTAATAGTAATGTAGATTCCTTACATCGATCACTCTCATTCGAATAGTGTTTAAAGATGTGTTGATCAAGTGACAGTTATCTTTTCTCTTAAAGTCAACATGCGTTGATCAATACATCATTTGTAAATCCCAACCTAACCTTTTCGACTTCCTAGTTCCTACAGCAGTCTTAGATGCGTCTTCTCTTAAGAGAGAGGATAAAACGCACACAACCTATAGTGAAAGCTTAAAACTAACAAACTTACTTCTAAAAACACACTCCCAAACAGCATAATTGGGAATCCACAAAAGCGACCACATCTATCTACACAATAAATAAAAGCCAAATGAGAAAATTTGAAGTCTCATTTCAAATTTTATGCATCCAGAGTGAAAGTAGGAAGGACATTTTGGTCTTCACGATTACTTTTTTTTTATTCATTAAAAAGACACTAGGATTCCAACCATGACCACTTTAAAGAAAAGCAAAGATCATAACCAATCACACTATGTACATTTGTTGTATATTTTTAAATTGAAAACATATAATCGCAGAGAGGAAAAAACTCTTCCCCCATTTCAAATTTCCTGCTCCATGAGCGTTTGTAGGAAGGGTAGAATAGGGAGTGTCAATTTTTTTTCCCTCTGTGGAACGGGGCCAACTTACCGTACACATGCGGATTTAAACGGGTCCAAGAGTGTCAATTTTGTCTTTAAGTCCTTTTATTTCTCCGTGGTGGTAAAATATATATGAAAGGCAAAAACAATACTCCTTTTTATTGCTAAAAAGAAAAAATAATAACAATAAACTAATGCATGGATTCTAATGGGCTAATCGCTAATCATAAAATAAAAGAGTTGAATGGGTTTGCCATTCTAAAACAAGCTATTTCTCTAGCATAATATATATTATGCTATTATTTTATATCTTAATTACTAAAATATAATGTATTTTAAAGTTATTCAATGGTTCAACCTCGACCAACCCAATTAGTTCAATTTTTATCATTTCAAATATATATTATGTAATTATTTGATATCATAATGATTAAATTATAGTGTATATTATAGGGAATCGTTTGGTATTTGTTAGTAAAAAAACTAATCAGAAAGATCTATTTGGTTATTTTTAACATTAAAATGATCCTAAACATTTTTAGTTTCCTTTCGAAATTCTATAGTTTTATTCCCGAATCAGTGATGTGCAAATGGCGAATTGCAGTCATCTCTTTTCTTTCATTATTTTTTATTTTCAAATAGAAAGTTTAAAAGTAAATAATAATTAGAGTTTAGCATGGGTCGGTCAAACAAGCTGAAATTCAAGTTTTGACCCATTTTGATCAGGTCTAATTTATAATCACATGGTTCCCTGATACCCGATAAAAATCTCAATCCAAACCAGTTTGGCAGGTGAGTCCGTGTTTACCACCATTTTCTAGGGATACAGGAATGGTGGTTCCTATCCAAATCGTGTTGTTCATTCTTGATTTCTTTAGATTTTATCATGGCTTGGCAAAAAACCAGAAAGCCCTGAAAGTTTTATAAAGCAAATTAATCGGCCAACGGGCCGTGTAAAAGCTAGCAACGATTGTGAGATGTTCTTTTCCCGAAAACCGGCGGGATGGAAGATTTTTTATTCGATTTTCTGGAATTTGGTTTCTATAAAACTTACTCCACCTCATCATATTACCAGAAACAATATTGTTTTACAAGGTAACAGGTACTTGATTTTGGTTCATAAGACTGATTTTTGATTCGTTGTATCATTCATGTCTCTTTCATACTAAAATTCACTATTTTTATCACGTGTTTCCCAAAAAAAACTATACAATAATAAACTATACACCTCTTTAGCCAATGGTCGGGCCACACTAGTAAATAATAGATAACCAAAAGATTCCACGACTGCTAATTGACGAACCTTCCTTCATTCACAAGAAAAAAGATACCAGCATGAGGAAGGAGAAGGATGTCCGTTGTAATAAAAGGAACAAGAGTTGACAGAAAGCATAAGCCAAAAATGAAAGAAGGGTTCTACCGACGCATCCTTAAACAATACATTCATCAACTCAAATATTTGGTACAATAAACCTCCTATAAGCAATCCCGATAAGCTCTAATTCATGTCCTGCACCAATCGACAGAAGCTACAACAAACAAGTTCATGAATCTTAATTCCAAACCCCTCCTTTAATATCGTCATGTCTATATCATTCACAAAGAGTCATGCATCCACAATCACATCGAAATGAGAATACTGAAATGTCACTCTAAGAATTCTACTGGGAATCCATTGAATATCCATGGCTTCATCATCCGAAGTAATCGTTTACATTTGAAACATCAAAGAACAATCAAACTTAGCAATTGGATTCTCAAGCAGAGAACAGATGCACATGGTGGCCTCTCATGATGGTAGATAGATAACTAATTGAAGTGCAACCTAAGACAGAGGAGCTATATATGTCTACCGAATTCAAATTGGGTAAATTGCTGTTTCCCCTGTGTACCATGATAGCTATAGCATCCAAAAGTAGGGGAAAGAAAAAACAAACAAACGCTGCAAGCAGCAGCAACATGATGAGAACAAGTGAGAGAGCTACTCAGTGATCAGTATGCAAGACTGAAGTAGTCCGTCTGGATGTCGCTCCACTTTGGGCTAAGGTTGATTCGAAGACCATCAGGAAGTCTTTTCTGACTGCTTCTCATGGTTTCTCCATGGATTCAAAGCGTCTCTCATCGCTTGAGCTTCAGGAGTATTCTCCCAAGCACGTTTCTCGGACTCCAGAACCGTCACCTTATCGTCTACAAAAGGATGGAATAAACACGTCGAAATCTCACATCAGACAATAGAAGACACAGCAATGCCAGCTAACAAATTAACTCTCTTATGCCAATTCACAAGGAGATGGTTTCAATAGGGTTCAAACTCTACCCAGCTAAACATCATGAACAAGAAGCCAGTGAATGTTTTCATTCCAACAGCTTGAAGTAGAAAGATGGATGCTTTTGAAGTCCCCCAAAAATGGCATTCACTATTCCAATTAAGATACTAAACAGTGCATGATTTAACAGCAACTTAAACACCACAAATACACACCCAAACCCTAAAAACAAATCTAACGACAGCAATTCACGCTACAGAACTTATCAGAGAGTTCAATCGATGGCAATTCATAGACTAGTTGGTTGCCGTAATTAAAATTACATTACTAGGAAGAAAATCGTTCGATGTATTGATAAAAAAAAAAGCTAGATGCAGTGAATCGAAAAAACCAGTGCAAGAGAAGGAACGGGAGAGAGAGAGAGGCACGGGGCGGGGGAAAGGAGAATTCTCACACAGAAGCCCGTCTTGATCATGAAGAACTCCATGGAAGCTCCGATTAGAGCAGAACCGGCGGCTATCTTCACATACCAATCTAGAAACTTCATTCTCAGCGCCGGCAAAGGAATCAAGACCTCTAGCAAACAAACAATCTACGATTCCAGAGCTCCAAACTGAGCGCGGCAGATACCTTTCTTCGATGCCGAGTCACGGAATCGGGTGACAGGCCTTTCTCACAGGGGATGGTTCGCGAGTTGATGGAACGAGTTCAGACGCTGGGCCGAACTTATTCTTTTCCTCCACTGCGAGTAGCAGGCCGCTGTTGGGGAAGACTCGCGGATCGTAAGTCGTAACTTTGGGCTTCACTCTCTTGAGTTACAATTGTCAATTAACATGTTTAGGGTTTTAGGGTGAATTGATAATTGCTTTGTGCTACATTCGTCTATAACATCTATAATAGTTATCTTTCTCCAAAAATTTGATTTATTGAGACAAATTAGTTATGCATGATATTAGAATTGATCTAGGCAAGTGATTGTATGCTTGAATCTTCACGACTTCCAATAGCAACAATTAAATTTAAAGCACATGTTGTGACAGGTCTATGCAAACTTCAAAGTTCAAGTGCATAAATTGGTTTTCATCTGAAGGGGGTGTAATATGGATCCACAATATATAGAGGCGAAATCAGAAATCTGAACAAGGGAGACTAAAAATGTACGTTTGAGGAATTTGAACCATGATCATTAAAAAGGGGCCTGCAAATGAGCCGAGTCGAGTTTTACCCCAGCTTGAGCTCGCCTCGTTAATAAAGGAGTTGAGCTCGAGCTTGGCTCGTTGATTAACCAGCCGAGTCGAGTCGAGTTCGAGCTAGCTTGCTTGATAAAATCTTGACTCATATTTGATATATTCATTTTGTATGTCATACATGATACATGTGATTAATGTCAATATGAAAAACTAATAGTAGTAGTGAAGTTTTCAATATTAACTAATCTCATGTTATACTTTGTGGTATCAAATTCTTTAGTTAATAAATTTTAACTAGTGAAAATTATGTTATTTCATAGTATCGAAGCAATCTATGATACATAATTTCTTTTAAAAATTAAATAAGACATATTTGCTCACATAATCTACATGTTAAACTTCAAGGGTGAGATATATAATTTAACAAATCTATGAATTATCAAAATTAAACTCGTATAGATTGATTCGCTCATAACTCGGTAATCGAGTTGGCTCTCTAGCCACAATGTTGAGAGTTGAGACATCGCTAAATGAGTCAGCTCACGAGTTGAGCTCAACAAGCCATCGAGTCGAGCTAGCTCGCAAGCTCCACGAGCCGCAGAAAGCCAATCTCAAGCTCGACTCATTAGTAAACGAGCCGAGTTTCGAACAAGTTTTTTCCGAGTCGAACGCCGAGCCGCTCGCGAGCAGCTCGGCTCATTTGCAGATGAAGTTCTGACCATCTGTCAGAGAAAAAAGAATGAATGGATATTGTAGAATTCCCTACACCTATAGGCCTAGAGCCTTACCCACTAGTCTATTTCTCAAATTCTTAATATAAATTTTACTTTTAAATTTACTTATTTTTGAAAGTTGAGGGGGCTATAACCCCCTCCTGATCCAACGTATCTCTGCCACTTGTAACACACATGGGTTGATCTTAGTTTTTGTTTTGTTTTGATAAAACAGAGTGCAAAGGGTCGTGTAATATAGATTGATTTTTGTTTGATTGGCCGTGTAATATAGATTAATAATTAACCTTCTTCCAATCAAATAATCGTAAAACATGTGTAATTCATCGAGCTGATGAACTAATTAATTAAAGAAACGTGTTTAAATTCATACAAAATAATAGAAACGTGTGTAGTAATATGAAGAGAGCATTATTATGATTCTTGTGTCGAGAATATGTAACTACCATTTCCAAAACAAACGAGAAATCGGCTCCACCGAATATTTTACTAATTAAAAAAAATGCTTTATGGGATTCTAAATTTGGGCATAATATTTGAAGAGCTGAAGTTAACGGCCGGTCTCGTTTGAGATTCCATCGGCCGGCTGACTAGCGTCACTGCCTACTGTGCTCGGCCGGCGTTTCTTCTTTCTCCTTTATGCCGTCTCTGCACTTTCTTGCCAGCCAGCCTCCATGTTCCAGGTTGATCGAGCGGTTAGGTTTTCCTGATTTACCTCCTGAAAATTGTATTATTCTCTTTGGATATAAATGAGAATTAAATTGAGAGTATCATGTTATATGTGTACCGCTGTTAGGTTTTCCTGATTGATCTCCTGAAAATTGTATTCTTCTATTTGTCGAAATACATTGTTTGTTTTGTGTTTTAGGTGTTGGATGGTAAGTAACGGAAACCCATATAAATATGAATACAAAATTACCACTAAATCTTGGAATAGGAAAGGCAAACAACAAAATTAATGAAATTGAAATGTGAAGTAGTGCCAAACTACTCACATAGTCTAATGATGAGACCCTTAGTAGATGCTCTTTTGGGAAGTGACAGTTCTCGAGTTTGATCCTTATCAAGGTCCATTATGGTGCTCTCAAAGACATTTAATGGGGATCTTTGTGGAGGACTCGAGAGGCTCTCAAACAGGTGAACTTTCAAATTTGATCTCACTCCGCCATCGCTCAAGTTGTGTGTTGATTTTTTTCTCAACCCTCTATGTTTATATGTTTGGTTCAATTCTCTGCCGTTTTGTTGTTTCATGATGAAAACTGAAACCATGACTTCCTAATAAAAAAATAATTGAAAAATAGTCTACGTAAACGCAATTAATGTATGCTAACCAAATGATTAATGTCACTTTTTAAAAACTTATCACAATCGCCAAACTCGCACTTAAAAATGAATATTTAAAGAACTAATAGTAATATAGTGAATATATGCACCAATCTCTACCTGTACACCCTATCAAATTCTCTAACCCAACCCTAACTAAATGAGCAAAATCTTATACAAGAGCACTTCTACTATGCTATATAGTATTGGTGCTTTAATGTACAACTTAAAGTTGTACCATAACATTAAATGTATAAGTTTAGATTGTACCATAAAGCAATTTGTACCATTATGTTATGGTACAACTTTACAACTTGAAGTTGTACCATCACATAAAAGTACAAGTTCAAGTTGTACCATAAAAGAATTTGTACAAAAAGTATAGGTATAATCTGAAGTTGTACCATAACGTAAATGTACAATTTTAAATTGTACCATAAAGACAAAATCCTATAACACCAATACTATATAACATTGTAAAATTTCTCCTTATACAAAAGTATAATCTCTGGTTTCTCACATTATCTAAAGACCCTATCGCTTCTCTCATTCCAAATACACCAAACCAAATCATGCATACCTAAACCAAAAAATAATCGGAGTGGATGTCAGCTAATCAATCCCTCACTCACAAGACGGCACAAGCATCCCCAAAGATCCTAGGAGCGGCGCAAACTAAGAAAGAGGTCTTTAACATATCCAGCCATGCTAAGCTTATCCTAGCCCTCCATTTGCCAAACACATAAAATTAAGAATCAAACAACCTCGTAATTTTGTATTCTCATTCTCTACAGTACTAATTTTGCATTAGCATGAACTAGGAATATTTCTTACCGTCTTATAAAAGCTAGAAAAATTCTGGCGGTCGGTTTCCACACTATAACGAGACAACGGCATGGACCTTAATTACTTGTATAATAATATGATAATCCTGTAGTCTATAGAGCACAAATCAAAGCCAAAGAATAATCAAAAGGGCAGGAATTTGTTTGTCTCCCACCTTCCCACCTAAACCAACCAGTTTCCAGAAACAAGTAATCAAAAGTTTCAACAGTTGTTTGAGAAAATGGGTCATAATAAGTCATAACCCAGTTGTTGTTTAGAGTTAAAGGTCCCTTCTTTTCTAAGTTTTCTACAGCGCCAAATTTCCCTTCTGTTTCCCCCATTAATGCTTGGGTTTTAAGTTCTAACATGCCCTTGTAGTCTTGTGGGGTTGGTGCAGATTGTCCTGACTTGCTTATTTCTCTTTCTTTCTCTTTTCGGGTACTGGTAAGTGTACAGCCAGATAGATATTGATGCTTAGAGATTATCAATCCTTCTGGAGATTCATTTCCCCTGCAGAAAATTCGTCTTTAGATCTGGGGAAAAACAAAGTATGAACCCAGCGCAGTCTCAGAATGTAGGCGTTAATGGAGTTGGAGATTCACAGGCTTCATCTTCATCTTCATCTTCTTATTCTTATTCACAGGTTTTGTTCAATTGTTCCCTCCTTGGTTTAATTGCTCTTTCTTCTATACACAGTTCAAATACTTGTCTTTTATCCCCTTTTCGAGCTAGATATCGATCCCACTTTTATTTCCTGTTGTGCTTTTTGCCTTTTTAAATGAATCTGTTCTTGTGCTTTTACCCATCTTCAGTAAGGACCCAGATATGAGGGGGGAGGGGATTTTCTCGATACCCAACTGGAAAAGTTGCCAACTTTTATCGTCCCCCCCTATCAAAATGTCTACTTTTAGGTTGTTTGGGTGTTCTGATCATCGGAACTTCATCCAATTTGGGGTGACCCATTTTAAACGTGCAAGAAGAGATTTAAACTGTGCATCTGGAGAGCAATTTGAATTTGTTTGAGTTGATTATGGTTGCTTGATCCCTTTTACGGAAAAAGTGGTGCAGAGCTGGGTGAACTATTCCTCAAATGAACCCTAAAAATTTGGACTGCTATTGTCGTACTGCTGTTTTGCATAGGATGATGCCTGTACTCCAACAGTTTGTTTATAAGAACAGTTTGATTCACACATTGTAGGGTGATGTGGGCAATGGGAGACCATCTAATGATGAAGTTAATGGGGCAGGACCAAGCATTAGGAAGGCTGATCTTTCTCTTCAAATACCACCCAGACCAGTAAGTTTTGGAGCTAGCCGATTTGGGAAAGGATTGCCGAACTCTCAAACTGCTAGCTCGTCGTCATCATCATCGGGAGGAGGCTTTCTGAGGGCATTAAGCTTCAAGAAGAGAAATGGCGGAGGGTCTGTGGGTGAGAGGAGCTCTCTGCTCAACTCAGAAACCTATTCACAACAACCTCCAGTTAGTCCTATTATAGCCAATCTCAAATCTGCATTTTCCAGATGCACATCACTTCCACCCGCTTCCGCTTTATCTCCCACAGTCTCAGTTCAAACTCCTGTTTCAGCTCGATTGCCCGGTGAAATTCGTGAATCGGAGGTAAGTTCAGCTCTTTATAGTGCTGCAATGTGTCTAATCTAATCTTGGTTTATTAGTCATAGTTAGGCATTGAGGATCATGTCATCGAATCTTGTAGAAGACAACAACTTGGTTTAGAGGATTCTTTGTTTCCTCTCCTTTTTTCCCCACAGAAAGTTGTAGTTTCAAGGTCTCTTTCTGTTCCGGGGCGAAACTTTGTCATTGTACGGTCTACATCCTTTGCTACTCCCAGACAGCAAACCCCTGGTGACTCTTCTAATGGTATGTCATTAGCACATGATGTTCTCTCTTCCTTACAGTTCCATAATTTCTCAACCTTCTGAAACTCCTTAGCTGCAAATCCGAGCATTTGTGGCCTTGAAAAGTTCTTCTGAACATGCATATAAGTATATCTAGTTTATTCCCATAATTGAGAAGCTTAGAAGGGAATATAAGTCCTTCAGACAGGAATGAACCATTTTATAAACTTGCAGCACAAATAACTACGGATTCCAATGAGGAAGACGATGATGAACACATCCCAGAAGAGGAAGCAGTATGCAGGATCTGTCTTGATGCATGCGAAGAAGGAAACACGCTCAAAATGGAATGTGGGTGCAAGGGTGACCTCCGACTTGTACACGAATCATGTGCCATCAAGTGGTTCAGCACCAAAGGTAACAAGAACTGTGAAGTCTGTTGTCAGGAAGTCAAGAACTTGCCTGTGATCTTGTTCCGAGTAACAAGCTACGCCCAGTTCAATGGCAGGCAGCCGCCTGGTGGTAGTCAGAGCTTGAGGGCTCAACAAATAAGGTACGAACTTCAGGGTTCTGTCAAATGTATAAAACCCCTTTCAGCTTCTTTGACTGAACCCTTGTTTCCCCGTTTATCGGATTCTGCTGCAGTGCTTGGCAGGATTTTGTTGTGCTCGTCTTGATTAGCACGATATGCTACTTCTTCTTCCTCGAGCAATTACTGGTATGCTTACTTTGCTATTTGTTATACACGAATTCACTTCATGGTTACATGCATCCTTATCGCGAAGTTAGTATCTTTAGTAAGGATTGGCATTTTGGTAGATCCGGGACATGAAGACACAAGCAATCGTAATCGCTGCACCATTTGCATTTGCTTTAGGCGTCATGGCATCGATATTTGCAGTCATCCTAGGTACCAATCCTGAATCTCCTTACCCAATCAAATTTGATCAAAATCAAATCTCCCCGATTCTCAACAAAGATGACGCTTGCTTTGCATGAAACTTTGCAGCGATCAGGGAATTCATATGGACATACGCTGCACTCGAGTTTGCACTGGTGGCTGTGACCGTGCACATTTTCTACTCCGTTGTAAGTAACTCGCTTATTGTCGAGGAATGAATGTACAAGAATAACATATCTTGCAACGAATACATATCCCTAACGTGTGGTTCTTTCTGACAGCTCGATCTGGATGCTATCTATGCGATACTTCTAGCAGCAGTTTTCGGGTTTGCTGCGGCCATGAGCCTCAACTCGTTGTACGTTCAGTACTTCGTCTGGCGAGCTGGGGCTGCTCGGAATGCTGCCCTCAATGCTCCCCCTGTGTGACTTGGAACTGAAATTTGCGGGGCTAAAATCTTATATGAAGTGGCTGGTGATAACTGGCAAGAGGCAGTTGTTTGTGTATAGTCCTTCTTACTGAAGTTCCAAGATTCCAGGTTGCGAAAATGGAAATAGTAGGCAAATGGCACCACAATAGTAAGTTTGGATCGATGTAGTTGTAGTGTCAACTAACTGGCCTATGGAATGGGCCGATCAGCAAGAATTATGGGCTTGTTGGCTGAATTGGGCCAATTGAATCCATTCCTACAATTTGACAAATGGCAAGGAAATCTGAGCCCTGAGGTATCAAGGCAAAATCATGTCAAAATCCTTCTCAATTATCAGTAGTGAAATCAATTGGAGGGAATCGAGGTATAGAAGTAAAATCAATTTTGAAGTATGACGAACCTCTAACTGTGTATTATGAAGAGTTTCGTCATTTCCTGAGTCTTGACAACACTTGATCTAGGTTGGATTGAACTCATGTTATCAGTCTAAATCAGTTGGTCATGTATCCTCGTGATGTTTATTTGTTTCTCCTCCTTTAATTGGAACAACTAGTTATTTAGCCCGCGCTACGCAGCGGATTATTTGATCTATTTTTTTTTTAAAATCGAATATGACATAATAATAGATTATCATTTCAAGATTTTAATTTTTTTTATTGGATATCTTTTTTGTTCGATTTATTTTGTTGATTAAAACATGTGGAGTCTTTTTACGTGCAAGGCTTATTCTTCCTGGTTTCTTAAATATTTGATATTTGTGTCGTATAAAAGAAACATAAAACTCGGTATAGATCCTAGATCTCACTCTGTTATGATTTTAAATTGGCCAATATTAATGGCTCTGACCACATAATTTGTAATTTTTAGAAATGTTTGATTTTGTTTAATTTGTAAAATCATTTGCTCACTCATAATTGATGATTGTGAACTTGATATATATATTCAAATCATTTTACCTATAATCCTTAAGCCCGAAGCACAAACTTCAATACTACCATAACTATCCACTTAAGGAATGGATTTTACCACTCCATATTTGTATATCATGATGTAAAATGATCATGTTCATCACCTACCTTGAAAAGAATAACATGTAGTCATATAGAGCAACCGAAAAGGGAAATGAAAGAATAGGGCAGAGAATCAAAATTAAGACTAAGAAGTCACTTATGCATGATCTAGTTGGATTTACCAAATAAATCAGTGGTCTTTCGATGCAAATCACACTTTTATTCCACTGTGTTGTTGTGCGTGCCATGATATGAGCCGCTTCATTGGCTTCTCGTCTATTATGAGAACAGACTCCTCTCCGAGGCCTGCAAGAGACGCTTTATATTCCTTCAAACCACCCCTATCTCATATCGAGAGTACTCCCGGGTTGTGAAACTTTTGTGCTAAAGACAAAGCAATCAATCAATTTCCATAGTCGGATTTGACAGCTCAAATTGGTGTGTGAGATGAGCACCCAGCTCGGCAGCTAATGCCTCTGCCATCTCACGCTGCGATGAATTTCCCTCATTCGTTTGGTCATTATATAGTAGTGTCTTAAAGGCAAGTATAAGAGAATCGAAACCATGATTCTTTTTTTTTTATAAGTCACTTTCAGCAAGACTGCATGAAGTAATACACAGTAAATGGAGCAATAACAAAAGACAACCACGTATAAAAGCATTTATTGGGCACCTAATGAAAAAGAGTTAAACTTTGAGCCAAGGAAAACAACAAAAGACTTAGAAAATCTCTGTTTCTTTTGATATATCAACTATGCAGTGTGCAACTCTGTTTGCCAGTACTATTCATTCAATTCATAACAGGCTTGAGAATATAATGAATGTCCTATGGCTTAGCTGAACTACAAATCATGGAAAGGCTTATCCAAAATCTTTTAGTTTGTAATAAGTTATCACACAATTCAATTTAATGTCAGTCACACACTTAATTTTGGATGATGATGTGAAGCGAAGACAAAGTGTATGCATACCTAACATTTTGTTCTTATATCATTTATAAAATGTTGAAGGTAACATAGAAGCGTAGTAGAATAGTTTGGTTGTACTTTAATATATTGGTGGCAAAGACTAACGTACACTCGAGGTGTAATATACACCTTTCACACCTATGAGTTGTACTTTAATATATTTTGACAAATAAGAATCGTTGGTTATTATTTTTATATTAAATAAATTGTACGATTTGGATTAGAGAATTAGAGACTGGGTTTCACCCATTAAAGGCTATGGTATAGTATCATGTCCTAAATTTCGTTAATTCATGGTCTAAATAGCAAAACTCGACTGGAGTACGGTAAGGTGACGTACGCTAGCTTAAACCATGTACAACTTATGAAGTTAAAAATTGTTGGTCAATCAAAGATTAGATGGTCATGGATACTATTTTCCAAGTGGTGATGAAGTTAGATATGACAAAAATATCCGTAACTGTGAATATCCACCCGAATCCGGCCTAATCGGGTAGGGTAAAACCCGAACCCGAAAGACATTTAGTGGGTACGGGTAAAACCCGAACCCGAATATTGCGGGTAATGGGTGGCATGTGTTTCTCACTATCCAACCCAAACCCGCCCGATTATACACATGCATATGTATTTTGTCTAAAAATAATCATTATTTTTCTCTAACATATTTTATATTTAGCATATAAATATAATATTTTCACGAAATTGTGTTATTTTAATTAATTTTCTTTATTCTAGTGAATTATTGTCGTACTTTTCCTCTTACGTAATGTGAGAATATGTGTGAATGTTAACATATTGGTTGGATTTATGAAGAGAAATTACTACACATGGATAACCGTGGATACCCGAAACCCGAACGCGTCTGAGCATGGTTTTGATTTTCTACCCGTTTCACATGTGGGTATGGGTATGGGTAAAACCCGAACTACTTTGGATAGGGTAACGGATATGGACTATCCGCCCCCGACCCGACCCGACCCATTGCCATCCCTAGATGAAGTTACAACATATTTTGACATTATGCGGGCACAAAACTAGTTTCTATCATAAGAGTCTATAACAAAATGCATATTTTTTATAGCATTTCCTTGTACCATTTCATGTCGTATTTAACAATTTGAATGTTTTTGTGGCTAATTTTTTCTTTTATGGTAAGGATGTTATAAGTTCAAGCAGGATGGAATCATATTAGAAAATTAATAGTAAGATTGGTAAATCACCAATTAATTTAGAGTATCAAACGACTAAATTGGAGAGAAATTACAGATGAGTGGCTAAATATCATCAATTCAAAAATACAACTACCCAACAACAGGAAACATATCCAAAATTAAAACACTACCAAGAAACTGAAATCCCAAGTACAGCACATAGTTTAAACCAGTTAAGCATACAAATCCAGATCCTCTTATTTCCTTTTTTCTTATACATTTACCTCACAGAGATTCACACTTCTCATCCACAAACTCACTAGTATAACTACTAATTCGCAATTCGTAAATTCGTGGATAACATGTATGAATCTTCACAAGTAAAAATCCACCATTAACCACATCCACTAACACATTCTCGAGAGTCTGGGGCGAAGTGGTTCAGTGTCGCCAAAAGCGCAAATAACTGGATAGAGCTTCTCCCTAATTAAAGAACATAACATGAAACAGCGCCACACAAGGCCGGCCTCCCCACCACTTTTTCTGCCTTTGTCCGAGTCACACTTTGTGACAGAACAAACAAACAAACAAACGGATAATCCGACATTCATCATCCTTTCCTGATTACTACAAAAGCATATAATAATGTCGGGAAGATTTGACAATGCCCTGTACCACTTGAACTCTCCCAATCCCCATCATTAATTTAATTTCACTGACCTTGTCTCTTATTGCTGGCTGCTCGAGAAGATCCAACATCGTCGTTGATTGGCGTCCGAATCAACCCTGAACTTGTTTTGGCCGGCTCGAGGCGCAGCTGTGTGTAATCTACCTACTTGGTTCTTCTCCCGGATCATAAATCATAATTCTGCCGTTTGTTTTTATGATGTTTCCTTCCACGACAAACACCTGATGGTTACTGTCATTTTGTCTCTCAGGTTCTGTTTCAGCAAAGTGGAGAAGAAAACCCATTTCTCAGAATTTCAAGCTCGCACAAGGTTGTTGTCGGAGAAGGAAGAAGACAAAAAAAAAAAAAAAAAAAAACCTTACAGATGCAAGGTTCTGATCTTGATGTAGAAGCAGCCTCCCCTTCTGATCTTCAGGTTTGTCTTCTCGTCTCGCTCGGGTTATCATGATCTGGTTTGATTCAATTGATCAGTCAACCTGGCTTATCCATCTAGAATGGATCTTCTGTGTTGTGAGAAGTAAATTTTGTCACCTGAAAAGTTTAATGACACTTAGATGATGAGAAGGTATTAAATTAGTACCTTCAATCCGGGATCAATCAACCAAGTCATTGATGAGTGGAAAAGGGGATTGTACCATTTCCATGAGCCAAATGTCCAGAATTTCCTCAAGCTGATCATTCTCAGGTTTCCTGCTTCTTTCAGGTCGATCTGGAAAATGGGTGGCCCGTCTCGGACGTAAAAGTTTCAGGGCGCAGCAAAAGCTCGCATCTTTCGATCGAGATCCCAATCGGACCAGCCCCTTGTTATGCTGACAGCTGCATTGGGAAAGGCATACTCCACTGTCACAGCTTGCGGTTCAAGATCAACAGCTCCATATTCGACGACGCCGGTGGCGGTGGTGGTGGTGGACGGAGGAGCCTCTGTCTCAGTTCACTCTACACAGCTCATCCAGACAGTCCTACCAAGAACAGACAACCGCTCTGCTGGCGAGACTGCAACTCGCTTCCCGCCACACCCACGGCTCCTATCTCAGCCTCGGCCACAGGCTCAGACCACCGGCCGCCGAAAGAGCAGCAGCTCCTAGTACATCCTTCCAAAGGTCAGTCACGCATTTCCACAAACACCTAGCGTGCAAAGCCGTCTGCTCACTGACGCATTTTCACAAACACCTTGCGTGCTTTCTACCTTCCCTATGAATTCATATTTTCTTTCCCACCCCAATGATCCAGATCCAAAGGTCCCAACCATCGTCATCGAGACCGGCCACGACAGAAAATTTTCCGAAGACGACGACGCCGGGATCTGCAGGATCTGCCTGGACACGATGAGGGAAGGGATCAAGATGAAAATGGCGTGCAGTTGCAAAGGCGATCTCAGGCTGGTGCACGAAGATTGCGCAGTGAGCTGGTTCAGCACAAAAGGGAACAAAATCTGCGAGATATGCGATCAGGAGGTTACCAATTTGCCGGTGATCGTTTTCCGGGAAGACAGCTTGGCGAAGACCGAAGAAGAAACCGAGGACCTAGATAGCCAGACCTGGGCGACGACGAACGAAAGAAGGTAACAGCTAAAACCCACCTACTGAGCTCTTGCTTTCCTTTTCTGGGTTCTGTTTAAAGTTTCGAACTTTACAGTTCAGTGCAGGAGTTTCTGTGTCTGGTGCTGATGAGCACGATAGGGTACTTCTTCGTCCTGGAGCTTCTTCTGGTATGAACATTGTACAATTTTCATAAAAGTTCAGGGTGCAAAATGACACTGGCTTCAAATCCACTGACGTTTGTGCAAATATTTCTGCTGAAGATTCAGGAGAAGACGTCTCGTGGGCTCTCTATTGCAGCGCCATTTGCATTTGGCTTGGGGATTCTGGCATCAATCTTTGCTGTAATTCTAGGTACGTTTGTGTGATAGAAAACCCAAATTTGCCTAACAAATCTTATAACCTGACAAATCCTGGAAAGTTGATGCAGAGGTAAAAGAACAAGTATGGAAATATGCAGTACTCGAGTTCGCACTCGTGTCGGTGGCAATCCACCTCTCTTACATGATGGTGAGCCCACTCGTGCACTCTCTAACAGGATTCGAATATACAGAGTTTTCGCATGGGCCAGTTCGAGTCACTGACCTTTTCTGGGTTTTGTTTTCTCGGGCAGCTGAAGGTGGAATCGGTGTACTCCATAATGTTGGGTTCGGTAATCGGTATGGTGTTTGCCATGGGCATCAACACATTGTTCAGGCATTGCACTTCTCCAACTCACGACGACATCTAGGAGACTTGGAGCAGTCCTCTCCTCGTGAGCTAGTTAGATCCATCCACCTTGTAGAAGGATTTTTTGGTGCCAGTTCAGTGGTACCATTAGAGCTTTTGGAAGACAGTATAGAAGAAAGCAAATGTTACAAAAGTATTATTTCATTTGTATTCCCTAATGGTGTTCTCTCTATACTATATACCTCACTTCATGAGGGAGCCAATTGCGTTAGAGTTTTTTGTTTTTTTGGTTCCTTTTATGTAAATTAGTGTTTGTAAACAGCCTAAAAGAAGAAAATGAATGTGTTGTTCAGTCAATAATATCATGTTTTCTGTCATTCCGAACAATAGATTTGGTGCTGCAGGAAACCTCCGAGCTACAAACATCAGGATTGGTTTCAAAAACCATTATTAAGCGCTCGAATAATGCCGAATAGGCAATTTTTGTCTTTGAAGTTTGAACTAGCACAATAGTCATTCTGTCAATGTGTTTTGATATTTCGCCCACAACATATACTTATCCAACTGTTATCTGTGATTTTGTTGTTGTTTCAGATGAGTTAGCATGCAGGCTGCAGAATCTAAAGAAAGAACGAACCAGATAGGAAAATGAATGCTTACCAACCATGATATTAGTGCAAACATCAGTAACAAATTTGTTAAAAATATATAATGAGCACTTTGTTAGTTGTATTTATATACCAACATCACTGTTCTTTTCAAATGGAACAGGAACCATAAGATTTAGTGATTTACAACCCTAGGAAAGCAGAAAATAAGAACAGACCAAGTTCATCAAAACAGGAGTGTAACTGTGGCCATCTTTATTAATCCATATAGTAGACCTGGTTCTCTTCACATTATCCAAAAATAGCCTATGCCTGTTTGGCAAGCATAAGACAACCAATTAACCCTAATCTCCAGAAAGCATTTCTTACTGGCAAATGGTGCAGAAGAAGAGGGAAGCTAACTAACCTGTCGTATTCTAGTTTCCTCGTAACGATTCCATTCAAGAGCAGCTCTGAACCGTAGACAGCGGCCCCTGGAAGCATACAGCGTCAAACGCGTGTAAGCAAGTCGATTGAAATCGTTTGTTTCCCTGCAAGTACGAGAGAACAGGCGTAGTAGAAGTACGGTGTACCTCCTCTTGAGGAAAGGAATGCAGGCTTCGTAATCTTAATTGCTGGATAGAACCAACAGGTCTTCGATGAGTGTGTCATCCTTCAGAGCAGATCTTCCAACTCTCTCAATCGGCTGAAAACCAATTCGAAAAATACATTTCTTTGAAGACATTTTCCTTTTAGCTTTTCTTATCAGAGACTCTTTTTGTTCCTTGGATTCCATGGCATCGGCAACTTTTAACTGGGTCTTTCTTTTCTTTGACTGCGTTGTGTCAGCTTGAATCTCAGAAGGATCACAAGAAGCATGTTGCTTTGAAGAAGCACGCCTTTTAGCTTTTCTTATTAGAGACTGTTCCACAGAATGCTTTTCCTTGGCATCATTACCATCAAAGTCAGGAACTGGGTCCCCGTTCAACAATTCCCTCATGGCTTCAGCAGCTAATTGGGTGCCCAATCCAGCACCGGAAAAATCTGGAGCAACAGTGATGTCTTCACGAGGTCCGGTTAATTTTTTCCTATTAGCCTGGTCATGCAACTCATTCAGAAGATCTTTTCTGGTCTTCTTCAGAATTCTCCTAGTTTTGCTTTCAGCTATCTTGAACTTCTGAAGTATTATTTTGGAATCAGACTGTACAGTCTCCCTATTCTCAACTTCGAAATTCCCTTTATTTCCCTTCTGTGGGTTTGATCTGCCCTTGGGGGAAGTTGACAACGACCTGACTCCAAGGAAATCAACCTTTCTTCTGATGAAAATATCTCCACCTTCCTCATCTTCCAGTCGGTGACCCCAGTCAAAGATCCCAGCTTTTTCTTGAATGCTTCTTTTCAGGGTTTTCTTGGCCAAACTTAGTGGGCCTTTCGCAGCTGATAGCCCGATACACAATTGAATTTTCTCCCACCAGTGTATCCCAGATTAACTTCAACATCGAATGAGGATTTGGTCTCCTCAATTAACCTTTCCACAAATGCGAGAGCATCAGCTTGTGATGCATCACCAGGTTCTTGCGAGTCTACATATCTCAACCCTGCAAACTCCTCATCAATAGTGGTTGGTCGTGCGTTGTCTTCTGCTCCATCAAGGATGCTACTAGTATGACAGAGATCACCATCTTTAGCAACAGAATCAGTAGAGAATAGTCTTCTTACTATACAATAATCAACCTTGGACTTAGTTCCAATCTCCAGTTCCTTCTCTTGGCCAATGTTTTGTCCCGACTTAGATTCCAAGATTGCTTCATCACAACCTCTTGTTCTCAGAATGCTCTTTCCAGAAGCTAAATGCTCCAAGGAAAGTAGGACAGATTCTGGAAGGAGGATAGATATACATTAGTAGGAACATGTGGGACTCATGTATAGACAATTTTGAAAGATTATGCTAGAAATATACAGAAAATTTCCTGATTTATCATAAACAGCGCAGAATGCATGCACAATTCTTCTAGATAGACACAATTTACCGAGATATAAATTAGCCAACTCAACCTATTGGTGTAACAGATATCCGAAGCAACCTTAAACCATTTAAAAACTCACATGCGTCACTTGGTGCAAGCACTTCAGCCAGACTCATTTACAACCCGCGAGAGTGACATGCACAATTAGTTTGCAGCTTATCCTTGACCGATCTTATCCAACATTTCTAGAATGGAATTATGGAAAAGAAGAAAAATATGCATAACCCAAGACATGTACCTTAGGGAAACCGAGTCCGTTACAAAACCAAAAGATGAAGTTGTGACTGTGAACCAAACCTCAAAATAGATCACAAGCTTCAGAAACACTTAACTGATCTGGGCTTCTGGTTGGACAAACTATTTGCTTCATCTTAACTGATCTGGGCTTCTGGTTGGACAAACTATTTGCTTCATCCACAAACTTCTCCCCCGTCAATTCTTCAAGCTTTCCTCCTCTCCCGGATTCGGAATCAGAGAGCTCGTTCCCCACTTTCCAAAACTGCAGTCGCGTCAGTACCTTCACCATCACTATCGAGAGACACTCGATCACTGAAATCATCATCAATCCTCTGGATGCATGTACTCCCAAGCAAATCTAGATCAGCATCATCCAGTACTTGTGTTTCATCCCCATAGTTCACAACTTGGGTCTCAAAAACATCTTCCACCAGAAGAGTATCATCAAACGAAACCTTTCTTGTCCCCATATACAAGTCGCCATCATCATAGCCACCTTTTCCGCCTAGTAAATCAATTTTTCCCAACACAGGTGAAAACAAAACCCCTTAAAGATAACAAATCAAACCATATAATCACCAACTCCATACACGTATTATCTATGTTCATGATCAGGTCGGTCATACCTAGAATCAGACTTGCATTCTCAGCCATTTGTAACTTCCATTTCTACACAACACAAATCCCATTTTTTCTCCACGAAAAATCCTTCGATTGGAGTGTTCAATCTCCATCGCGAGGAATCGACCAACTCTGGAAAATAGAATTGAAGCTATATAAACTTAATAAAGAGGCTAACGTGACCGAAACCATCATCAACTTCAAAAATTCGAGCGTCGGATCCAAACGAACTGTTCTTTTACCCTAAATCGACAGCTCCACGACGAACAAAACTTCGGGAAGAAGGAATGCCAGAGAGTTATCAGAGATTACCTGATGAGGAAGGCGAACTCCATTGAGAATCTAAACGCTGAGTATCGCCGTCGTCCTCCGCTAATCGAACCGCACCGCCGAAGCAGTCACCCATGGAACCCATTCCTTCTCACCTCTCAGTTCGCCGTCGAAATCCAAAAGAAGAAAATCAGCGGAAGGGAAGAACTTAGAGGAAGAAGAGCAGCGCTGCGATTACAGGCCAGAAGCAGAACAATTGCCGCGCGAGAAGCGAGCTAATGGACTAATGGAGTGAGAAAACACAGCTTTCCGGAAGTGGACGGAGAGATTGGTCGCGGTGGCGCGTTTTTGCCTTTTTGGAGGGAAAATTGAGAAGTGCGTTAGGTTAGAAGTTAACTTGATACATTTGCCAATTTCACTCTTGGCCAGGAACAGGTTATAATAACTGAAAGATGTCAAACTTATTCTCAAAGGGCATTTGGTCTAGTGGTATGATTCTCGCTTAGGGTGCGAGAGGTCCCGAGTTCAATTCTCGGAATGCCCCTTAAGTTTTTCACCTCTACTGAGTTTTCATTTTCCAGAGTTAGCTTTTTTTTTTTTTGTTGAAAAAACATTCTGAGAAATCATGAAGATAAAGAGTACTGCTAGGTGCTTTGCTTACTCAACCTGCCATTCAACATTCATTTTCATTCCACCCAAAAGCAAAAAGTTTGTTAGATGCTTTCCAGACTACAAAATAAAGTACACTAGAACCAATACCCGCGGCTACGCCGCAAGGACTTAAGTTGCACATGCATGATCATTTGATTATCAATTCCGGTGATGGTAAATTGGGATGGTTCACATTCAAAACAATATAGAAGTTCAGATTGTGCAAGCAAAATTACATACATTCATTGTCAACAACACCATAGCCAATCATTTCCATGCCTTACAAGAAATATATAGCTCTTATAGCACGGATAGTACATAAACACAATATAGGAAGATAATTGAAGCATAACACATTCTGGGTGACAATACCAAGACATGCCGCTCTTCACATCATTAAGGGACAAAGTTTTATAGTTGGTTCCGATGCCAAAGCAGATCCCAAAGGGTGATGACATTATAGACCGAACATGCAATAACTGTATCTTGGCCAGTTTCAATATCTACAGTGAACACCCTTCTTAAGGCTATCCTTCAATAATATCTTCATGTAAGACAATAAAGGCAATTAAACCGTAGCTACCAACCATCGAACATACCATGCAACAGCTAAGGATCACAATCGAACTACTTGAAACATGGGGTAGAAAAAGATAATGAGTGGAACTGTGGAAGGAACACAAAAGGAACAACAAATGGCAGCAATGGAACAATTTTGCTATGAAACCGAGTTTAGAATAACAGGATCGTAGATAAGTTAAAACACATGACCCAAAAAGACGGAGGACATGGCGGTTTCTTAGCTACTGGGTTTCAGGATTGTTCCTTGCAAATGGCTGAAATGAGCAAAAAAAAAAAAGAAGAAGATAATAACGCAAGTCATCTATGACGGAAAGAGAATCAAATTTCTAACGACAAAGAGTTCACATTAGCTTAACTATAATGTGTAAGAGAGAACTAAACAGTGATTTGCATAATGTTACGCTGGCAAGTCAGCAGGGAAATTTCTAAAGGGAAAGAGAAACATATTCCTTCATCATGTTGGTCATCTGGTGTCGTGTTGGGATGTACCTGATGGAGTAGACTTTTGGAACTTTGATATAGGTGGTTTAAAAGTTGAGCTTCTTGTTGGGAAGGTCATTCCTTGGACATTTAGTTGGAGTAGACTGCTTCAAGGCATCCTCAACTGCTCCCATGGTAAATAAATATGCTATGTGGACTAACTTTCTAATTTGCATATGGAAAAGGAAGGGATTGCAACAATTAGCCTATTCTGGTAAAAGAAACCAAAAATGCACTGGAGTTTGCTTCTGGTTTCAGCTATTCTAATGAATGATGCGACCGACTCTCACAATTTGATACTACTAAAAGAACTCTTTAGCAAAGATGTAGGAGAAACGGAAGTACGCGAAACTTGGCCATGGCGAACATATTATATTCATATAGGTAATGTAAGAGCCAACAACTTCCACTCACCTAGCCATCTTAAAAAGCTTTAAGAACTATTGTGCCGCTCTTCTTACCGTACCAATTTGCTCCTTAGCAGAGTACTGAAAGCAAAACCAATTCATTAGAAATATAGTGCTCATATGTTTACCACAAATAAGAGGAAGGCCATCTGTAGCACATAATCAGCCATTATCCCTCACTATATCCCCATTTACGTAACTTGGATCTGAAACCAAACATAGCTGCCAGTGGGAGTCCTACCACATAGTAGCACACGACATCGTTAACCACCGCCACCTAGACCTGGCGCCTTGTTCCAACTGCACTCTTGTACCCAAACAAAAAGGCATGTTGTAGGTAAGTTCATCTCATGACCAGATGTGCATTTTTCTAAAGACACTATAGCTAAAAAAGAGAAGCAACAACAAACAAACCAGTAAAAACAGAATGTCCAAGTGTGGAGTTTCAATTGCAGTTTGTTCTGTTCCGTGGGAGTCCCACCAGGTAGTAACACACGACGATGTTAACCACTACCACTTGGACCTAGCGCCCTGGTTCAACTGCCATCCTTATACCGAAACAAAAAGGCATGTTGTAGGTAAGTTCATTCGTGATAAGATATGCTATTCCCTGAAGACACTATAGTTTAAATACCATATGTGCATTTTTATGAAGACACTATAGCTAAAAAAGAGAAGCAACAACAAACAAAACAGTAAAAATAGAATGTCCAAGTGTGGAGTTTCAATTGCAGTTTGTTCTGTTCCGTGGGAGTCCCACTAGGTAGTAACACACGACGATGTTAACCACTGCCACTTGGACCTAGCGCCCTGGTTCATCTACCACCCTTATACCGAAACAAAAAGTCATATTGTAGGTAAGTTCATCTCGTGATCAGATATGCATTTCCCTGAAGACACTATAGTTTAAAAAGAGAATCAACGACAAACAAAGCAGCAAAAACAGAATGTCCAAGTCCAAACTTTCAATTGCAGTTTGTTCTGTTAATTTTTTTCTAAGAAATACAACAAACTGAAGACTGGAAAAAGATTAGTTATGGAGCTCAAAATAACTGCCACTAAACATTCACTTACATTTCAGCTCTGAGATTAGAGGGGAAAATAACAAAGTTGCGACGTTGAATGGAACACAGGGAGGAGGGAGATAAACCTACCAGTCGATCCAAATCTTTGAGAACTCAGTTGGACAATCAGGGGAGATGCAGAGCTCGCCCTGAGAAGTTGTTATGTCATCAATTTAGAAATTGCTTCTCACCAACACCTGTCGCGGAACCAAATTAAATCATGAAAGGCAGAATTCAAGGTAACAACTAAAAAGAGGTGAAGAGAAGCTGTTGAGAAAGGCGATATTGCTAGCGAGAACCTTTCTTATCTGACCCTCCTGTAGGCTGTAGCTCCTCTCTCTCTCGGGAAGAAATGGTGTCATTGATTCAAGGTCCGTAATACTTCCAAAACTTTCAAGATCTATGTAAGGCAACAGTTGTGCACAAACTTGTTTGCCACTATAGTTGAAGTAAGGCATGAACTTGCGGTACGGTGTCAAACATGTTTCTTTCCTAGTAGTAAATGCATTAAGAAATTAGCTTCACTTTTATTCTGGAACCAACCATTATCCCCACAATTTCATCGTGCAACCAAGACCCACCATTACCCTACAAACCACTTCTAGACACAACCGACCCACCCAACGACCCACTATTGCTGATTACTAATTTTGAAGAAGACGGAAGCAAACTCAAAAGAGTTTATAAGAAAAGCTATAAAAACGGTTCAAAAGAAGTACCAAATATGTAAGAACCGAGAACCCATAATTCCATTTTATCTTGATGAGCGGATTTGCTTCAGCAATTGTATTCTTCCCAGCTTCCTTGAAATCAGAGTCGCAATCGTGGTTCTTTCTGGGTACCTATGAGAACCGCAGAAAGAGCTGCCACACCTACTCTTAAACCTCGTCAAACAGACCCTCATGTTTGCCGCCTTGACCACCTTGGCTGCCGCGGCATCCAACAACGACGAACTCGTCGCCGCTGCTAATGATTTCTCAACTGTAATCACCAGTTCCGCCGCTGGCGCTGCAGATTTTATGGCGGCGACGATTGATTCAGCTTTCGAAATGGGCCTCTTTGATTTTAAGCTGAGGGTCTTCCCATGGCCGCCTTGGCCGACACCACTTGTTCCTCGGAGACCCGTATTTCCGTGTACCACTTGGGGCAGTGGCTCATGTTTGATAAGGATATATAATTAATAGTTTTAATTGTTTTATTTCTGTTACTTAGGGGTCGTTTGCTTGTTGGATTTGAAAAATGAGGGTTTTGGCCAATAAAAACCTTGGGATTTATGTTGGATTTATTGGATTATGGATTTGAAGAGTCTAATGTTTGCATGATAGATTTGATGATGGATTTGTGATGGATTTGTTAAATAAATAACTAACCATCAAGGATTTGCAAATCCCAAATCAATATGTGGGATTTACAAGTCCGTGGGGTCCACGGATTTGGTTCCAAAATAAAGATCAAATCCGTGGACCCCACGGATTTAGCACCCTTCAACAAACAATGGACTTATGTTAAATTCATCAAGCTTGGGATTTGGATATCAAATCCATGACCCAAATCCAACAAGCAAATGACCCCTTAGTTCCTACTGTTTAGGCGTTCCACTACAACACTACTCCTTCCTTTGTGTAACGTGATGTTAGTTCAGTTGTACTCTTGGGTATAAAACCCACACTCCTACTCAATACAAAACACATCATTAATCCTCTACATGGTATCAGAGCTGCGCTCCGATTTTCTTAATCCTTTCTTCTTAACCTAATTCTTCGAAATCTTCAATTTCTTCTTCTCTCTTCTCGCCGCCATCATGCCTCAAAGCTCCGGCGAAAGCGTCATCAATCTTGATGATTCAAACACCATCATCACTCTCAACCCTGCCTCTCAACTTCCCCAAAAACTGATTGGAGAGAATTTTCCCACATGGAGGGCACAATTGCTTACTCTTCTATGAGGCCTTGCTCTCCTTGGTTTCATTAACGGCACTCACCCTCACCCGTCCGCCGATGCTTCAGCTGCTGATCGCACCCGCTAGTTTAGGCAGGACCAGCTTCTTCTTCACTCGATTCTGGCTTTCGTCTCCCCTGCTGTTGCTCCTTATGTCACCGCAGCTAAATCCTCTCACGAGGCCTGGACCATACTTGAACGCATGTATGCAAGCCAATCCCGGCAGCAGGTCATGAACCTCAAACAGAAACTCGCTCGCGAAACGCAAGGCAATCGTCCTATCGCTGTCTACCTTCAAGCAATGCGCACAACCGCAGCTGAGCTCGCTTCGTTCAAGCTCTTGTCGCGAATGAAGATCTCGTTCTTCATATTTTCCGCGGCCTTCGCGAAGAGTATGATACTCTGTCTGCAGCTCTCCGGGCTCGTGATACTACTATTAGTCTTGAGGATCTCCATGATCGATTAGTTGACTATGAGGCGGAGCTCGCCGCTATTCGTCACCGAACCTCCACTGCCCCAACTACGGCCTTCTCTACTGCTCGTGGGAGCTCTTCTCCTCCTGCTCGCGGACGTGGCAGTCCGCGCCGACAACAGGTCTCTGGCTCCTTCCTTTATTCTGATCCTGTTCCCTGTGGTTTTTCTCCATCTCGTGGGGCTTTTGTCTCGGCTACCTCTCCCTCGACTCCCTCTTTGCTTGGCCGCCCGCAGCTTCTGTGTCAATTCTGTGATAAGCCAGGACACACCGCCAAGGAATGCTATCGCATTCATGGGCGTCCCCAAGTGCACCACACCGCCACTGCTCATTACTCCTTTCCACCGTGGCTTGTTGACTCCGCCGCCACCAACCATGTCACTCCCGATCTTGATGGTCTTTCTCTGTATACATATTATAATGGTCCCGACGAGGTAGTAGTCGGCGACGGTTCAGGTTTGATGATTTCTCATATTGGCGATTCTCATATCCCTATTGCTTCTGCAATTTTATCTCTTCGTGATGTGCTTTGTGTTCCGGCTATCAAACGTCGATTGTTATCCGTTGCAAAATTATGTAAATCTAACCAGGTTTCGGTGGAATTCTTTTCTGATTGTTTTGTTGTGAAGGACCTAGCCACGGGGGCGCCTCTTCTATGCGGCCAGAATAAGGATGACGTGTATGAGCTGCATGCGGATGCCTCTCCCGTTCACCTCACCCTGACCACCACCAAAACTCCCTCTACTACTTGGCATAATCGGCTGGGCCATCCCAATTCCCGGCTGCTTGCTCCTCTCCTCCGTAATCAATCCCTCCCTGTCTCCTCGGCTCCTCCTTTTCATTCTTGTGCTTCGTGTGCCCTCAATAAGAGTCATAAACTCCCGTTTTCAGTTTCCACTTTGACTAGCGATAGACCAATTGATTTACTCTACATGGATGCTTGGGGTGTTAGAAATCGAACAGGAAAAATTAGGGTTACCGATCTGGCTGAGTCGCGGACTAGGTCGCTCTCTTTAAGACGTTCGCGGCACTGCCTCGTATTGCGCACAGCAGACTATCAGCCGGTCGCCTCTAGGATAAAACAGCCATTCTAGTTTTCTTGCTCATCGGTTTTGTGCGAAAAACCGAAGCTCTATGAATTCACTCTCTCTCGTGTTTCTGCTCTTCTGAGGTGTATTTAGAGGGTTTGGGGTGTCTCCTATTTATAGGAGCAGAAAACCCAGAATATTCCCTCTTTCTTTGGGAATAAGTCATATTTTAATTAGGGAGATAATCACTCCCATAATTAAAATATAATCTATTAAGATAATTATTCCTAATTATCTCCATAATATTCCTTTTATTAATTATCCATCTTATTTATGTATTATTGGAAAATACTGGATAATTAATTAGGAATTTCATTATAGCTTTTCAAAGCTATTCATCCCAACAATCCCCCACTTGAATAGTTTGAAACTATCTCTGAGCATCAACAGTTCCATAAGATCGGGCATAAGCTAAGGTATCGCGAAGATTTGAACCTTAGCGTAGTGGTTACAATTCCGATTTCATAAGGGTGACTCGTAGTCTTGAACCCTATCTCAGACAATGTAGCACACCGGATCTTTTCATTGAGTGATATTCTCTCATAGGCCGTGCGTTTATGGCCATGCACGTTATCCCGGTTTAGTGAACGCTCTAGCAACTTTGTGCCTCCAAAGTTCCATAGGGAGCGGCCTCACTCCCACATTCACATAGGTGAGTCTATCAGAAGTACCCCCAAAGTAAAGTACTTCACTCCACATAGAGTATAGATCTCATTAAGAGTTTAACTCAACCTCCAAGGCTTTGGGATTCATGCTTCACTATGCATGAACTTTTCTCAATATTACTCATGACTTGTTATTACCCATTGAACCCGTTTCTTGGGATCTCCAGTCTATCGGGTCGGGTTACCATCACTTGTAATCCATGGTTCGGTAGGCATAAGTCTCATACCCTTCGTGGTATTTTGGACTTTCTCTCTAGATAATCCTTTCGTCAAAGGATCAACTAGATTCTGTTAGGACCTTACAAGATCCACCCTCATTGCTCCTATCGTTAGGAGTTCTCTTACAGTACTGTGCTTACGACCAATTTGTCGTCTCTTTTTCGTTCTAGAACCGGTTCCCTTCTTTAGTAATAGCTGCGGCGCTATCACAATGAATCAACTACCGGAGGGATCGGTCTTTCCCATAAGGGAATCTCTAGTAATGACCCTCTCAATCAACTTTTCTTTTTTACTAGCCACTGCTAGCTCTATCATTTCTGATTTCTTAGTTGATTGAGCCAGGATCGTTTACTCCTTAGACTTCCAAGACATAGCTTCTCTATCGATGTTTAAAACACATCCTCTTGTTGTCTTGGAGTCCTCTATAGGGTATTCTAATCCGCATCACTATACCCTACCAATACAGCAAAACCATTGATAACGAATACCAATGTTTTTCTGTTCTTTTAAGGTGTCTCATGACCCCTTTCAATAGCATTTCAACGTCTTCAAATATTTATACTAGCATCATCAAACATGTATGCAGGTGTACATCTTGTATTTTCCTAGTTATTAGGATCTCTAAGCATAACATTTGTTTCATTTAGATCCTTCACATTCAAAATTCTCAACCATAATGGTTTTTCATTATTGACATCGCAAGTCTTTGTACCAAAGATCTATGTGTCATTCACAATGCAAGTGTCATTCTCAGATTTGTACTAAATGCACTTGTCATTCTTAAAACCATGAGAGAGAACCAGTTTATTCATGCCATCGTCTTAGAGTCTATTTCAAATCTTGCAATGATTTGTCTAACTATAGACTCCCTAAGCATGTTCAAGGATAACAACCCTATAGGTTGTCCCATGTAGATTTTCCTATCTAAATTACCATTCACAGAAACATGTTTAACAATCCATCTGACTCACAACACTAGCAATCAGAACATACATGGATGTTATTCTACATATGGTGAATAGATAACTAGAAAATATACAATTTTTCCTTTTCGCTTAAAGCCTTAGCTATTAGGCGATCCTTATACTCATAAACTAAACCAATAGGTTTCACTTTTCTTTTAAGAATCCATTTATTACCCATGACTTCATTGCCAAGAGGTAATTCTCAAAGATGCCAAATCTTGTTCGATTCTATCGATATATTACCCAAGGCTTTTCAACCAAGAGGTAACTCTACAAGATTTTAAGTCTTATTAGACTCCAATAATTCCATATCGTTAATAATGGATTCTCCCACAATTCTGCATCTTTATGGAAGTTTGAACTTCTAGCAGACTTGTAGGATCTTTCTTTCTTAGGGTGTAAATAACAAATTCATAACCAAAATCCTTTCGTGATTTATGGTTCATTTGTCTCTTCTGGGTTCATACTCAGATTCATCACACCCACTAGTTATCCATTATTTCTAATAGTAGGCAGAATATCACCCCCACTATTTCTTAATATAAATGGAATCTATTGGCATCAATGGATTTCACAACAACATGAGTATTTCGTTTCATAGGAACTATGTGTTTTTATTTTTGACAACATAAAACACATTCATATGCTCTTCTAGTTATCATGTTACACTGATTCTCTAACGCTAGCACATGGATGCCACATCTCGAATAATCAGTGCAATCATAATGCAATTATGCATTTCAAACCATTTCAAATAACTAGTCAGACAGTCAGAGCACTCTAAAGAGCAATAAATTATTTATTGTCTTTTCCATCAAGTTTACCCATATCAACATAAATCAGATCTATTGATTCTGATTCACTAATCACATATTTATGAGTCCTTTAGCTTGGATATTTATATTTTTCTCAAGCATCCAATAATAATATGGGAATGCGATATAAGATATTCTAATTCTTCACACAGACACACTTGGAAGAATTTATCTTATCTACTTAACCATTCCTTACGTCTAGGAAAGTCAATGACTTTCTAGAGCTAGGGTTCTTTTCCACTTTCCCAAAACCATCAACAATAGTGGTGAGGGTCTTGCCCAACAACACTTTCCCCTTCAATACACCTCAATGCATGATTGAGCTTAGCTCTTTTGTCATACACATGCCTTGAGGCGCTAATATCCAACCACATTCTTCAGAGTTACCATTAAGGCTTTCCTCTGTCATCACCTTAGTGATCATTACCATCAAGTCCTCTTCTTTAGTCAAGTTTACACTAGGTTAAACTTGTTCTTACACTTTCGTGTTATATGACTTAGTTTCTCACAAATTTAACAGAGAACATAGCGTGTCATTCTTAGAGGATTGGATGACAATCTTATGGTTACCACAAAGGGTACCATTCTATTTGGTATGGATCTGGTTCGGTTTGCTGCTCTCATTCTTGAAACTTTAATGTTTCACAGCAGCCTAAGTGGTTCGTGTAGTACTAATAATAGTACTTCTTACAATATCGTTATTATGGGCAATAAACCCATTCTATTCCCATATATTCTTCAATGCTCACATTCAGACAAAATTATTCTATCCATAGCATGTATTCAAACTTATACTCTAGTCATCGAAAAAGACACATCTCAATGTCAATCATTGACTCTAGCTTCTCTAGCATTCTCAAAATTTCTCAATTTCATACATGAATCTACATAGAATAAATTCTAATTCTGTCTTTCTTTGAGCATTCATTAGGTTTCTCAATACCATGCATGAAACTATATGACAAAGATTCTAATTTTGTCATTCATTAATAACTCACGAGTAAGATTTCGATTCTTACCTTTCACCGAGAAACCATTGCTTTCAGCCTTTTACCATGCATAGCTTCTTTGTTTCTCGTCCTGGTTCCTTCCATATTGCCTTTGACGCTACAACCTTGTGTCCCTGTTTTATGGTCGTCAATTATGACTTCCAATTCTACCGGTCCACGGTGAAGCTTTGAAAGTCTTGACCAATCGACACATGCACAGCTGCGGCGGCAGCAAGATAAGCATTGATGGAAATTGAATGTGCCCACTAAATTGAACGGGCCGGCAGAACTGCCAGTTCTCCTCTTGCTAGTGCAACTTGGACCATGAAATGAATAGAACCCCAGTATTCTTTTCTCGGCCCGGGATGGAATTGAAGGGCTGTCATTATTCATTCTCTTGTGAAGGCCAAGAAGCTCAAACCAAACTTGTTAGTGGACGCCATATTACGATACCCACATGAATAGCAAAAGAAAGCTAATAATAAAATAAATCAAATTTTCCTTTGACCATGAGTATTGTGCCGCCGTCAGGGTTAAAGCCAACGCCTTCGGGAAAAAGGACTCTTTCAATAAGAAACCCTTCTTAATTTGATTGATCAACCCCTTGTTGCTTCGTGTTCCCGGATAAGGCGTAGTCTCGATCTGCTTGGTATTCTCCTCCCATCGCCATTATCGTCGAGCTGATGATTACCAGTCAGCCATTCGGACATAACCATATTTCCTTTGGAAATTATAATTAAATTGATGATGATTGCTTCCATCAATTTCTTGCACTGCACTTCGAGTTTCTATACCAAATCGGCTGCTCCTGCAATTGAAGACTACAAAACTGCTTCCCCGGTACTTATCAGTGCATGAAACTTTTGCGAGCAGACAAAAAACCCACTAAACGTTGTTATTCCTCCAATAAAGAACAGAAAGGATAAATCAAATCATATATCATAGAATAGGCAGATGTTTGTTCGACAAGCAGATCTGATTTACGATCCGGCAACGGGGAAGACGGAATGGAAAAATCTGACGAGTAAAGCAGCCATGAACTCCAGATCGGTAGTAATCGGTTTGAACGAACCGGTCATCCTGTTCAGTAGACACGACAGCAACCGAGCGTCTTAAAATTGTTAGAAATCGAACAGGAAAAATTAGGGTTACCGATCTGGCTGAGTCGCGGACTAGGTCGCTCTCTTTAAGACGTTCGCGGCACTGCCTCGTATTGCGCACAGCAGACTATCAGCCGGTCGCCTCCAGGATAAAACAACCATTCTAGTTTTCTTGCTCATCGGTTTTGTGCGAAAAACCGGAGCTCTATGAATTCACTCTCTCTCGTGTTTCTGCTCTTCTGAGGTGTATTTAGAGGGTTTGGGGTGTCTCCTATTTATAGGAGCAGAAAACCCAGAATATTCCCTCTTTCTCTGGGAATAAGTCATATTTTAATTAGGGAGATAATCACTCCCATAATTAAAATATAATCTATTAAGATAATTATTCCTAATTATCTCCATAATATTCCTTTTATTAATTATCCATCTTATTTATGTATTATTGGAAAATACTGGATAATTAATTAGGAATTTCATTATAGCCTTCCCCGGTTCTTTCTATCGACTCCTTTTCGTATTATTTGGTGATTGTTGATCATTTTACGCGTTACACATGGCTCTATCCTTTGTCTCGCAAATCTGATGTTTACCATGTCTTCACTACCTTCTCTGCAATGATTGACAATTACTTTCATACGTCTATTCGTCGCGTGTATACTGATGGCGGGGGCGAGTTCCATAAATTATGTTCTTTTCTTCAGTCCACCGGTGTAACTCATCTCCTCACCCCGCCTCACACGCCTCAACATAATGGCTTGGCCGAGCGCAAACATCGCCATGTCGTAGAAACCGGTCTTGCTCTCTTGCATACCACTAATCTCCCTCTCTCCTTTTGGTCTCATGCTTTCCAAACTGCAACATATCTCATAAACCGCCTATCTTCTACCTCTTTACGTGGTGCCACTCCTTACTTCTCCCTTTTCAATGAACCTGCCAACTATCTTAAACTACGAACCTTTGGTTGTCTTTGTTACCCATGGTTACGTCCCTACTCTCCCCACAAACTAGCTCCCCGCTCTCGCCCCTGCATTTTCCTCGGCTACTCTCTCACCCAAAGTGCGTACAAATGCTACGATCCCACTTCCCACCGCATATTCATCTCTCGCCACGTTCAGTTCGACGAACACTCCTATCCTGGTCTCCCATCCTCCCCTCCTCCCTCTTATTCCTCCCCTGATTGGCTCGCCATTTCCCCTCCTCCTATCTATCAATATACTATCCCCAACCCCACTGCCCCGCCCATGCATCCTACACTCTCCTCTTCCCCTCCCAGGCCTGCTCCTTCATCGTCCTGTCCTACTGCTGCTGGCGTCCCTGCCTCCCCTTTGGCTCCGTCCTTGCACCACGACAATCCACCTCCTCCTCCGGGTAAGGTCGCGCCACCCCGGTCTCATTCGATCGCCACCCGCAGTCAACATGGGATCTTTAAGCCGAAGAAGCTCTTCTCGGCCCAGGTATCTTCCTTGGATGTTGAACCAACTTCTGTCAAGGCTGCCCTAGCTGATCCTCGGTGGTGGGCCGCTATGCTAGAAGAGATTACTGCTCTTCTTCGCAATGGCACCTGGTCTTTAGTTACACGGCCTCTTGATCACAGCATTGTGGTTTGTCGTTGGGTTTTCCGAATTAAGCGCCATGCTGATGGCTCCATTGATCGGTTTAAGGCCCGCCTGGTCGCTAAGGGATTCACTCAACGCCCCGGGCTAGACTATCATGATACGTACAGTCCGGTGCTCAAGCCTGTCACTCTCCGGATTGTCTTTTCTATTGCCCTTACCAGTGCTTGGCCTATATTTCAGTTTGATGTGAATAATGCGTTTCTGCAAGGTTCTCTGCAGGAAACCATCTATATGTCTCAGCCTCCTGGTTTCCGTGACTCGGCCCATCCTCGTCATGTTTGTCGTCTCTCTCGTCCGCTATATGGTCTCCGCCAAAATCCCTGTTTGTGGTACATGGCGTTGTCTTCTTTTCTCTGCCAATAGGTTTTTGTACGCACTACATCAAACGCCTCTCTCTTTGTCTACCATCACAATGGCGTGTTACTCTACTTCTTGGTCTATGTCGATGACCTCTTACTCACCGGCAACAACTCCACCTTCCTTGCCGCTTTCCAGGCTCGACTAGCAGCGCGCTTCTCCCTCAAACATCTTGGCGGCGTTAATTACTTCCTCGGAATTGAGGTGCTTCCGGTTGCCAACGGTCTCGTACTATCTCAACAAAAATTCATTGGCGACATACTTGCCAGGTTCGATATGGTGGACTGTCAACCTGCTCCCACTCCTCTGAGTTCCACAGCTGCCCTCTGCCTCAACGATGGCTAGCCTCCTGCCGATTCTTCCCTGTTCAAGCAAGCTATTGGCTCCCTCCCGTACTTATTGTGCACATGCCCTGACATTGCTTCCCGGTGAATAAACTATCTCAATTCATGCATTCTCCCACCCAGCTGCACTGCCACTCTGTCAAATGTCTACTTCGTTACCTTAAGGGCACTATCCATCATAGGCTACGTCTAGCTCCTGTTTCTACACCAGCGCTTGTCGCCTTTGCCGACTCTGATTGGGCTGGCGATCCGACCGATCGCACATCTACCATGGGCTATCTCATCTACTGTGGCGGCAACCTCATTTCCTGGAAGTCCAAGAAGCAACGATCCGTGGCTCGCTCTAGCACAGAAGCGGAATACCGCACAGTGGCCCATGACACAGCCGAGCTACTCTGGGTGCAAAACCTCCTGCTTGAGCTTCATCAACCCCTTCCACAGCCGCCAGTTCTCTACAGCGACAACCTCGGGGTTGTGAACTTCTCGGCCAACCCTTTCTTCCACTCCCGAATGAAGCATCTGGCTCTCAATTTTCATTTCGTACGTGAACTTGTGCAGGCTGCCGCACTGCAGGTTCGTCACATCCCCACCGCACATCAACTGGCGGACTCGCTTACCAAAGCTCTACCCATAACTCGTTTCCAGCTTCTGCATACCAAGATTGGAGTCGAACCCGCCTCCATCTTGCGAGGGCGTGATAAGGATATATAATTAATAGTTTTAATTGTTTTATTTCTGTTACTTAGTTCCTACTGTTTAGGCGTTCCACTACAGCACTACTCCTTCCTTTGTGTAACGTGTTGTTAGTTCAGTTGTACTCTTGGGTATAAAACCCATACTCCTACTCAATACAAAACACATCATTAATCCTCTACAATGTTGGACGCCAAACCAAAAAATAGCAGCTGTATCTTCGGCTCCGCTGGTGGAAAGCTTGCAAAAAAATTCAACGAACCCAACAAAAAAGGTTAAAAGAAAGAGAAACCACAAAAAAGCAAGCAAAACACGGAAATCTTCCCCCACAATTCCCCTATCTCAATAAGCCACACAGAGAGAGGAAATTTGCGAGTACTATTATGAGTTGGGTTCAAAGAAAGCTATAAAAGCATATGCTGGAATGGGGCTTAGGTAGTGGGAAAGGATAGTGACGGGGAGGTAGGTGGCTCCATGGATGCTTACGTGCTGAAATGGGTCGCGTGCTGGAGTGGGTTGCAGAGGTGATTGTACCATTGAGAGGCTGGCGAGATTTGGGCGAGGAGTGGGGGTGGAGATTTGGGGAATGGGGGTGAGAGGACAGAGTCTCAGAGGCCAGAGCTGAGGAAGGCTTATGTTTCTCATTGTGCTAGACGACAAATAATGAAATAGTAGCAAAAAGTTGAGGGTAATAAAGCGTACCCAGCTTTCATGTTCTATATAACTAGGTCATGGGTGATATCTGCATCTTCATCCGGGTCCGGATACTATAATAACACCTCTTTGTTGTTATAGTAACAACAAGGGTAAAAGGGTCCATTAACAAATATCTAAAAATTAAAAAGAACAAATATCTCCCTCTCCATATCTCTTCCCTCTCAGCAGCTTCTCCTCCACCGCGAACGCCACGAATAACAACCGGTTCGCCTGGTCGACCCTCCCCGTGGCTTGCTCGTGATCCTCGGCGGCGGCGACAAAGGCGCTGCTAACGTTGGAGGCCTCTCGCTGTGCGAACCCGAAGAACGAGAGCGGCGGCTGGAGGAAAGTGAACGACGATGCGCGGTGGCTAGGAGGAACGAGAACGGCCGCAATCGCCGACTATGGCTCCAACGGCCACGCATCCTAGGTCCTCCACGACTGCCTCTCCACCTTCCGGATCTAGATTTCAGATCTGATAGTCAAGGAATTGAAGAAGATCAGTCGCCATGTTCTCGTTGATGTCCAATCCATGAAATTCGGTGCTAACCGTTCTGAACAGCGCCGAATCACCCTCGTTCTTTAAGACGACACCATTTTAGTTTCTCAAGTCTTCGAATTCGGGCAGTTCGCCGACTTCGACTTTGTGAACGACGATGATGCGGACTAGGAGGCTTTGTTTCTAAGTTGAGCTATTGTGCCAAAGAGAAGCGGACGAAGAGATTTGTGGTGGAGGACGTGGCGGGGTAAGTGTAATCGGTTTATTGTTTCATTCGTTGTGTGGCTCTGATTCCGTTAATAGTCATTCGCCCGATGAAGATGCCCCTCCGCCGCTGTCCCACAAGATTCCTCTTCTTCTTATGTAATTGATATATTGTTTGGCTGATTTTTCTAGGTTATGGGTTCAATATCTTCTCTTGTCAGGTTTTTTATTTATGGGGATTGGAATTTCTTCTTACAGATGTAGAACTGGGGAGGAGGTTGAGTGCTCCAATGTTGACTACTATGATCTGATGAAGGTAGTTACAAATGCAACTTCTTTTCGAGATGCTGCTTTCAGACCATTATGATGATGACCCGACAAGTGAATAATCTCATAAAAAGCACACCAGAAACCTCATAATGCAAATCACAAATATTGGAAAACAAACCACAAAACAAACCAGAAACGTCTTAATGCTGACCAAAAATATATTAAAACAAACCAGAAACCTCACAAAGCAAACCATAGAATTTTAAAAAACGCACCAGAAACCTCATATTGCAAACCACAAACACGTTAAAGCAAACCACAAAAACAAACCACAAATGTCCTAATGCAGACCAAAAATCTATTAAAACAAACCAGAAACCTCACAAAGCAAACCACAAAATTTTCAAAAGCACACTAAAAACCTCATAATGCAAACCAGAAACACGATAAAGCAAACCACAAAAATAAACTAGAAACTTCCTAATGCAGACCAAAAATCTATTAAAACAAACCAGAAACCCCACAAAGCAAACCAATTTTTTTCGAAAGCACGCCAGAAACTTCTTAATGCAAATCAGAAACACGAAAAAGCAAACCACAAAATGCATACAAAAAATATGAGAAACCAAACCATAAATCTCACAATGCATACCATAACATCAGGTGATCGTTGACCGTTGACCAAACTCCAATGAGCATCAATGACCGGATTCCGGCGCCGATAGGCATATTTCGGCCCCGATGACTAGATTCTGATGCCGGTAAGCATATTCCGACGACAAAAAGCATATTCCGATGACCAGTTTCCGGCGACCTGTGGCAGAATTCCTATTTTTTATTATTATTTAAACATATTTTCATAATGACAATTATACCCCTGTTTTGATTTTACACTAGGTCAACTAAACTAATAGAAAGTCATCACAACCCTAGCTTCCTATTGGTTGGAGACTAGTGTTGTTACAATGACAACAAATATGGTGTTGTCACCATATCCGCTCCCTCTTCATCCCATAGTCCTGCTACAGCCACAAATTAGGTTTACAATGGAAAGTGCTAATCATATTTAAGTTTAAAACGAAAATCCTACAATTACCCTAAAACAAAAGAAGGCAACCGCTTGAGTAGAAACCATCAATTGCCACCATTGCTGGGTGACTAAATGAAATGCTGTCAACTAAAATAGCGAACTGGAATGCTGCTATATCAAGTTCCCATAACCCTCTCAAGCTGCAGGGATCTGGTGGGAGAACCGAATTCACCACAACAGCTGATCCCTCCTTCTCTGCTTGAGCTCTGAAAACCGAGTTGAAACCTTTCACACGCTCCAGATGCAAGACCCTGATCTGTAGATCATTTCTCTCGACGACTTCCACCACATCATAATCACATGTTGGTAACTCGGATTGCAGCATTGAATGAGACCTGTTTCTGTACAGGGCCCAATTGAAGAACCCATTGATTACTGAAAGCTTTCCATCAATGCCTCCGTGAGAAAACATAAACTCATAGTACTGACACCTCGAGCTTCGATCTCAAACAGAACAGAAATATTAGAAGTGAAACAGAACCCACAACCAAAACCAGAATACAAAAGTGTGGAAATGGAAAACGAACAACCACCAGTGCTTCTAACAAAGCTCACCTGACACTTTCTGTACCAACAGATTATTCATAATCCGACCCATTCCACCCAATCCCATACAGCGAACCGTCCCTGTCAAAAGGGGCCACAAAGAGAACCCTGAACCCCCCAACAACCCATAGAACTCGGTGGCCTGTTGTCTGTTGAGCTAAACTCGTGAGATGGCTCATAATCATAAAGAGCTCATGAGATGTCACACATTATGGCTAGAGAGCCAACTCGATTACCTACTTATGGGCGAATCGATATATATTTAATGAATTTAATTCATAAGATTGTTAAATTATATATCTCACTCTATATGAAGTTTAACACGCTTAGTATGTGAGCAAATAGATATTATTTTTTTATTTTAAAAGAAACTTTATATCACAGATTGCTTCGATATTGTTAAATAACACGATTTCGACTAGTTAAAATTTATTAACTACATAATATGTTGCCAACAAAGGATAATATGAGATTAGTTAATCACATGAATCATACATGACATTCAAAATGAAGTGTCAAATAAAGATTTTAGTAAACAAGCCTATCTCGAGCTCAACTTGACTTAGCTCGTTAATATATGGCTCGAGCCCGAGCTCAGCTCGTTCATTCACAAGCCAAGATCAACCTGGGGTAAAACTCGACTTGAATCGGCTCATTTGCAGCCCTAGACATGAACCTAAAAGTATCATTTAGTCTCTACATTAAATTAATCCAAAAGTTAAAAATTTGGTCATAAATTGTTCCATGAAGAAAATCAGTGGAGTTTTTCTATGATCAATGATCGAAGGGCTTTTTATTGTTACTAGAAAATTAGCCCGCGCTCCGCGGCGAGTTCTTAAAAGAAAATAGATTAACAATAAGAAGAATATATCTTAAATTGAGTTACGCGTCATTAGTGATATGAGTGGAATTCTACATTACCTTGAATTGGATGTACTTAGGATCATAATTAACTTCTTAATTAATTTCATTAGCCTTTAGGAAATTGGATATGATTTTGAAGTAAATAGTTGGATTTACAACCATACAATGTGATCTTTGATTGAATAAATAGTAGGACTGTAGGAATTGTTTTATACCCTATATATCTACAATCATTTCGATGGTTTCTTTCACAATAGTTTTCTCAAAATTGTCTAGTGTTGACATGCACAACACTAACAACATAAGTAACTCCAAATAACCAACATCGTTTGAAACTTCTATCCAATTTAGAAAGTGTAGTATGAAGACTTGGCAAAAGTTAATGTGAGCTTAATTACAATGAATGATATGTCCTGATTCATTCTACCACATGCTATAGGGGGAAGTGATACTTCATTAATAAAGAACATAGATATTTAGTCGGCGCTTTGTAGTGGACATGTAGGCAACGGTTTGATTTACATCATTCATTACTTGCTGACTTTTGCGATGGGAGGCTCCAAGTTCACGATTACAATTAGAACTTGTTGCATTGGTCGAAGTGAGTTGAAGTGTTTTAGTCCACTGTTAATAGTTTTGTTTATACTTGGCTCTCCTATAATGTAACTCTTTTATTGGCTTAAAAGCCTCCATTGAATCAAAAACTGAATTAAACTTTCAACAACACCATTAATGCATCAGTTCGTCCAAACCCCAAGTGTACCACACTTATACTATCAACCTATTTACTTAACCTTAAAATTAATTGTGAAATCCTGCAATGACCATGAACTATTGTGTAATTGTGTCAGTTTAACATTATCCTTCGTGATCATAAGTATAGGACAGTGATCCGAACCACACCGGTCCAGGTGAATGACTTTGTGATTAGGAAACTGTAATTGCCAGTCCCAGTTTACCAGACATCTATCCAGTCTTTCTTCTATGAAGCTGGAACCCCCTCGGCCATTGTCCCAAGTGTAGGGGTATCCCTAAAAGCCGCAGTCCATAAGACCACAGAATTCCAGCGTATCGCAGAACTTTATCACCATGTTTTCATTAATGAGGCGGCCGCTTTCCTTTTCATCCCTTTTTTATGACAATCCTTGAATTGAAAGAACAAACTAAAGTAGCAAATGTCTTATTCAAGTTCAGATCTTTCAGTTACGATATGATTCAAGAACAAACTAAATAATAAATCAAACCCAATACATTCGTCTGCTACTGAGCCATCATTTTGTAATCTTCTCCATCAAATACCAGGCCTGGCGAACAGTCTACTGGTGACTGCAAAATCTCCCTTCCTCATTTCTGGATCTCTACATTCCGCCAAGCAGTCGAGTCGACTTTCATCTCAATCAAATCCACCAAGAACCAATTCCCAACAAAGTGAAGAATCGACCCCCAACTGTGAAGCTACCGTTCTCTGTATGGTTGATGGACCAAAAGTCCAAAACCATGCCCTTAAAAGTTAAAACAACAAAAGATCAAACCTGAGCAAGGAAACTCGGTCATTGTCACTAAAATTAAGCATGAATAATACTGCCTAATTTTGATGTATACCACATTATTATGCTTCCACTGAGTATTTTCAATGCATGCAAATTTACAAATATCATGTTAAGTCTTATTCTATTTTATAATTCATCTTATATATGACCAAGGCAATACACCTAGTTTAAGAAATATACTGCAATTTCAGAAGCCCAAGCTTGACACTTTTCATGATTATTACAAAACCAGCAATAGACAAACTATATACAGAGCACTTATTTGAGAGGTTATCACTTATCAAGCACAAATAGGAACAATGAAGTGGCTTATGGCTGGATCATATCACTGTAGTTTGGTACAAAGGCAGACTTAATTGACTCACTGGATGATAAACAAACGTTAAAGTTATGTCTGTGTCAGTTGAAGTTGTTTGTATCAAAGTTCATCTCTTATCGCACTCTTGAATTTCACCAATGAATGAATCAACCATATGAAAGATAGAAAACTTATGATTTTGTAGCTGTTTCGTTCAAACACGAATCATCAATGACAAAATCAGAGATGATAATCTTAAATCTTTGTAAACGTGATATGATCCTTCCATTCCCTTATTGTTTGGTACACAAAGGGCACTGAACCATACTCCGAAAAATCGTACCGGAAATCATATCGGAAAAGTAAGCAATACGTATGTTATGGCAAAAACGTGGTTTAATCGTAGTTCAATCATTAGTATCGTTAAATATCGTCTATTGGTTTAGCCTCTAATACTGGTATTTTGTAGTTGAACCGCAAGTATGATACGATTTCATGAACCGTGCACTAAACTAAAAAATAGAAACTAATGGTATGGGATTTGTCATTTGTCATCTAGTTTCAATTAATGAAGGTTGTTTGGATGGATCAAAGTGATGAGTCAATGTGCCCCAATTGACTCAAAATGAGACAATTGGGCCAAATTACCACGTTTGGATGCAAAAAGTAAGAATGAGGCAATTGGACATGAGGCAATTGAAATTGCTTCATTATGGGTCAATGTCAATTACTTGGATGGGAGGGAGGTAATCTACATTTCTCCATTTTGTGGGTCACTTTTCCCATTATGACCCCTTTTATTTAATTTCTTTTTTCTTTCTTCCTTTCCCAAGATAGAGAAGGGTAAAAGAATGAGAGCAAATATGTATTTTCATAAAATGTCTCATCACAATTGTCTCATGCCAAATCACAAGCCAAACAAGACAATTATGTAAACATTTACTCATACAATTAGCTCATTTTCTAAAATGAGAATTTTGTCTCAAATTACCTCATTTTGAGAATGTCCCATCCAAACGACCCCGAAACTTTTTTGGGGAATATAGGAGGGAATCACACCGAAAAATGGAAAGGAAAAGGACGCAAAGGAGGTAAAATGGAAAGAAGACAAGGAGGGAAGATTTTTGGCGGGCAAAAATTTCCAATGAGTAAAATTGGCGGGTGAAATTTCGACGTGATGCCAAACAGACGTCACATATGACATGAAATCTTAAAAAATAGTAAAGCATTTTGAGATTTGGCCCATATCCACATACGCCTTCCTCAAAAGTTAGCATGTCTATGTCATCGCTATATAAATCCTCTCTACAGGAAAAGAAATCCAGCCAGTTTTTAACCCCTTAACTTCACAAGTCACAGCACAACCATTGGTGCTGGCAGTTCCTTCTCTAATCTCCGACCTTTTTCATCCCTGCGAGGCCGTGACAAAACCTGGAAGAAGCAACTCCATCGTCGACGCAACGCATCCTCCGTTACCAATACTTTGAGCCTTCCCCAACAAAGCAACGAGCAATCTTGATGAGTCCAATCAGAGGCGATCCTATGTATATAGTTGTGGCTCTTTGTCTGTCTCTGCTCTCAATCGGTTTGTCTATATGCTCTCCTTCTTCCATCTTTTGGGGATCTGCGGTCGAACAAGATGCTTCGTCAGACTCGACTCCAGGTCCCAAATAGTAACATACTTCTCTGGCAATCCAAGGCCAATTGATGTTTGAGAATCACAATACATACGATGGAAGTGTGATTCACGGATGGCAGACAGATTGATAATTTTTGACAGATTAAAAAATTCCTTCTTTCTCCAGTAAGAGATCGTCGTCATCTGCCAAAACTAGAAGATAAGTCATGAATGATTGTCACATGTGCATTTATATTATGTGAGTTATTCGGTCATTTTTTCTCATTCTATTCGGTTTCTTTTGTTCTTTTCATGCTCAAGAATTCGAGGCCTCAAAGTGTTGTTTGTGATGAATGTTACTCCTTCACTTTTCAAAAGGTCATATACCCCCTCTCTTTCTGCATTTTGCTTCCTTTGCTGTTTAATTCCAGGATTGATTTCTCAAGTTCTATAAATTGGTTGTCTCTAATACAATTAAAATATACTTAATTAGGCACAACAGGGTAATCAATCATCTCATTATAGAAACCTAAACCAAATGGTGCATTTGTTTACTCTGCAGTTATCAATTGAGAATTGGAGACATTCAATTACATTCTGCTAGAAGTAGAAAAGTTAAGAGAGCGATGCTGATGAAGACACAACTTGGTTTTGACGCTCCGAACAACAATGCTAACCGACGGGAAAACAATCCCACAAATGACTATAATGCATGCATAATATAATCATCTTTCAATATTAGTTATGTATTTGACAACTTCTGATTCTTTCATCATGCTTTATGGTTAACAACATTAGATGTTGAATTTATACACTCAGGCAAATTAGGCACTTCAATGTTGATAAACTTCAGTAATGGTGTTTTTATTTACTCTAATCTGTGTATGCCTAATACAATCGTATGTGCTTTAAAAAAATATGTTCGTCTATAACGACCATATTGCATGACTACAGGAAGTGAAATCCTATCATTAAAACAATAAAAAAAAACTCTGGTAATTTGTAATCCAACGAGGCAGACAACAAGTTGCCACGCAAGAAAGTGGATACAAATTAAATCTAATCACACGTTGACATAGACTATCCTAAAAATAGTAAAGAAGGATATGAAATAAAAATAAAACATAAAAATTTTAGCCGACCAAAGGCCGGGCACAAAGCTAGTATCTATGTATGGGAATAGTCCTCACTTTGTAACCAGATTTACTAGAAGTTTTTTTTAATACTACCAAAAACTTAAATTTCAAGGTTACAACTCTGGACTGAAATCTCCATATACTTTTTTGAGAGAACTAGACACGCGTTCCATATCCCCATGTGCTTGGGATGCCGTTTGATCTGTTTTCTTCATTATCCCCTTCCGAGGATCCACCAGTCAGTGGCGGATCCATAAATTTTGCATAGGGGTGTTCTCTTTTAAAAACTAAATTAAATAAAAAATGGTAAATAAGAAAATACCTTACTGGTACAGGTTACAAAAAGTTCATTATATATGTGTTTTCATATTCAGAAATAATTGTAGAATACACTTGGTGTCTATGGTGTTAAAAAAATTTGTCTCTATATACCCTACTAAACAATCATTCACGAATTGATCGCATATTCGATTTGTAAACTCGTTTTTTATGTAACCCAAAGCTGAAAGACTCTTTTAACACTTGTCGTACAACCATAATATCAATACAAATTAAGGGTAGTTTGAAATTAGTTTATTAATTGTTAGGATTTGAAAATAATTAGAGATAGGGAATGACATTTTACTATTACACAATGTTCTAAATCGAACAACAAATGAGTTGTAGCTTATTGGAAATTATGTTTATTAATAATAATAGTGTTATAGATTTTATTACCCAACCTACCACTTATATTCCCATACACAAATTTAAAAAATGACATTAGGATAATCATTTTTTCAAATTCCAAGGGTGTCCGTATGTAAATTACCATCGAGGATTAGATAATCGTTTTCCCAAGTCCGCCCCTGCCGCCAGCTGCCCCACTATTATAGTGGTTGAAAGATAGGAACTTTTCTTGCCGAAATTGTTAGATTGAAAATTGTTTCATTCACTCCTCGTACCCTATTTGGGCCATCCCAACATGCCTTTACAAAAAGCGAAGCAAAGTCAAGAGAAGAGGTGGTAGCTGTCCATGCAAGGAAGTGACACAAGCTATTGACGCAAGTCTTCTGTGGAGGAAGGAAGCCAGGGAGTAGCACTAGTTGATTGAAAGGACACCACCTCACCAAATGCCCTTCCTGGGGTTGGGGCAAGACAACAATGAGTAGTTCGCTCCAGCACTCCACTCCCTCGAGAACAGGATGCCGGCCACAACTTACCTCTATCCATTGAAGGCGGCAGAAACGATGCCGGCTCTTCGAAGCCGACTGTCACTTGCTTCTATCGCTCCTTTATTTTTTCGGTACCAGCTCCATACTCCAATCGAGACACTAGCTACAATACTGAACTGAATTACGTACCGTACGTACCGAACTACGGGGGATTTACTTTCAAAGATGCATGAATTAATTGGTAAAACACTCTTCAGTTAGTTCCCGAAAATGAAGAGGGAAGGAAGGGGAGAATAATCTTCTTTGATGGTATCAATTCCGTGGCTCCAAAAAAGGGACTTCCTTGCGGATGTCGATACTTAGACAATGGTTCTACGAAAGAGTTCTTTAGGAGCTGCCAAAGACCCGAAAAAAGCTAAGTCAGAAAGCTAAGGCATAGACTTTCTGCACGCATTCTGGATAATTTTAACTCATCCTCCCAGTCGTTTCAAGTGGTTTTATTTACCTGGTAATCCAGTGAACCTCTCAAACTGGTCGTAGGCTTGCCCAGTGAACATCTCCAGACCTGAATTAGTATGCAAAATCACCTTTAATAATAAAATGGTCATATGAACAGTAATTAGGTGACGAGAGCAATCCATTGTCAACGCATACTTGGACCCAAACAAAAGGCTATTATCAATTAAAGCACCTGTCAATAATAGGATAACTTAGCAGGATGATTACTTAGAAGACTACTAGTATTCAGCGAGCAGTACAACTTTGATCACAATACCAACTGTGTATATCGCCTAAGCAGTAAGCACTCGCTCTCATCTGAGCTGTGAGTTGCTACATTAACCTGGAAAAAACATATACTACTTCTGCACATAACTTACCATACAGAAACCTCATGTGATTCATCCATCCACCCCAAAGGATCCGGCCCCAAAAGGGCCATAATTCGTCTTCCTTAAGTGACTGATTCCTGTTCTGTCAGTTCTGCAGACTCGGGAAATGAAACTTCTTCAGAAGAAACGCTGGTCTTCTCATCGATCACCATCGGATCCTTGGACTCGGGGTCAGCCTGTGTGGCCACTAACGCATCGTTACCCCCCTTTTCATTGGTTGCCTTCTCCGAAGTCTCACCACGAGGACTCTTAGAAGTTGAGTCATCGGTCTTCCCCTTCTCCAATGCCACTTCATTACTGTCTTCATTTCCAAGTTTCTCCAATTCCTCTGCGGGCTTCTCACCATGAGGACTCTCTGAAGATGAGTCAACAATCTTTCCCTTCTCCAATACCAAATCATTACTGTTACCTTTTCTAGGTTCCTCCACTTCCTCTGCCGGCTTCTTGCTGTGAGGACTCTTGGATGGTGAGTTATCAATCTTTGCCTTATCCACTACCACATCATTACTATCGTCATTTCCAGGTTCCTCCGGTTCCTCTGCCGGCATCTCACCGCGAGGACTCTCGGACGGTGAGTCATCAATCTTTGCCTTCACCACCACATCATTACTGTTATCATTTTTAGGTTCCTCCAGTTTTTCTGCCGGGTTCTCACCTTGAGGACTCTCAGACGGTGAGTCATCAATCTTTGCCTTCTCCACTACCACATCATTACTGTCGTCATTTCTAGGTTCCTCTGCCGGCTTCTCACCGTGAGGACTCTTGGACGGTGAGTCATCAATCTCTGCCTTCTCGACCACCGCATCATTACTCTTATCATTTTTAGGTTCCTCCAGTTTTTCTGCCGGGTTCTCACCGTGAGGACTCTCGGACGGTGAGTCATCAATCTTTGCCTTCTCCACTACCGCATCATTACTGTCGTCATTTCTAGGTTCCTCTGCCGGCTTCTCACCGTGAGGACTCTTGGACGGTGAGTCATCAATCCCTGCCTTCTCGACTACCGCATCATTACTGTCGTCATTTCTAGGTTCCTCCAGTTCCTCTGCTGGCTTCCCACCATGAGGACTCTTAGACGATGAGTCATCAATCTTTCCCTCCTCCACTACCACATCATTACTGTCGTCATTTATAGGCTCATTCAGTTCCTCTGCTGGATTCTCACCACGAGGACTCTGAGAAGGTGGGTCATCACTCTTTCCCTCCTCCACTACCACATCACTACTGTCGTCATCTCTAGGTTCCTGCAGTTCCTCTACCAGCTTCTCACCTTGACTCTTAGAAGGTAAGTCATCAATCTTTCCCTTCTCTACCACATCATTACTGTCGTCATTTCTAGGTTCCCCTGCAGGCTTCTCACCATGAGGACTCTTAGAAGATGAGTCATCAATGTCTCCCTTTTCCTCTACCACGTCATTACTGTCGTCATTTCTAGGCTCCTCCAGTTCCTCTGTCGGCATCTCACCATGAGAAATCTTAGAGGATGAGTCATCAATCTTTCCCTCCGCCACTGGATCCTTAGAGCCAGGGTCATCAGCCGAGGCCACTACCATATCGTTACCACCCTCTTCGTTTCTAGGCTCTTCCAGTTTCTCTGCTGACTTCTCACCATGAGGACTCGCCCAAGACGAGTCATTAATCTTCCCCTCCTCTGACACTGTATTCTTAGAGTCGGGGTTATCCACCACCAGATCATTACCACCCTCTTCATTTCTAGGTTCTTTCTGTTTCTCTGCCAACTTCTCACCATGAGGACTGTTAGAAGATGAGTCATCAATCTTTCCCTCCTCCATCAACGGATCCTTAGAGTACAGGTCATCAACCGTGACCAACAGTAAATCATTACCACCCTCCTCATTTGTCGGCTCCGCCACCGACTTCTCACCATGAGGACTCTTAGAATATGAGTCAGGGTCACCGGCCGAGGCCACTACCATATCATTACCACACTCTTCATTTCTGGGATCCTCCAGTTTTTCCGCTGACTTCTCACCATGAGGACTCACACAAGATGAACCATCAATCTTCCCGTCATCCACCGTGGACACCACCAGATCATTACCACCCTCTTCATTTATAGGCTCCTCCATTTTCTCTGCCAACTTCTCACCATGAGGACTGGTAGAAGATGAGTCATCAATCTTTCCCTCCTCCAGGTCATCAGCCGTGACCAAAAGTAAATCATTACCACCCTCTTCATTTGTTGGCTCCGCCACCGACTTCTCACCATGAAGACTCTTAGAAGATGAATCATCAATATTTTCCTCCATCACTGTATCCTTAGAGTTGGGGTAATCAAACATGGCCACTACCACATTAGCACCCTCCTCATTTCTAAGTTCCTCCAATTTCTCCATCGACTTCTCACCATGACGACTCTCATCAATACTTTCCTCCACTGGATCCTTAGAGTCAGGGTCATCAGGCATGGCCTTTACCACATCATTACCACCCTCATTTCTAGGTTCCTCTAGTTCCTCTGCCAGCCTCTCATCACGAGGACTCTTAGATGATGAGTCATCAATATTTTCCTCCTCCACTGGATCCTTAGAATCAGGGTCATCAGGAGAGACCATTACCACATCATTACCATCCTCATTTCTAGGTTCCTCCAGTTCCTCTGCCAGCCTCTGACCAAGAAGACTCTTGGGAGATGAGTCATCAATCTTTCCGTCCATCATCGCTGGATCATTAGAGTCAGGTTCATTAGGAATGGCTACTACCACATCATTACCACTCTCATCATTTCTAGTTTCCTCCAGTTCTGGTGCCAACTTCTCACCACAAGGGCTCTTAGAAGATGAGTCATCAATCTTTCCTTCCTCCACCAATGGTGAAGGTGAACTTGTCTCCTTAGCAGCTGTGAGAGCAATCACATTACTCTCCACTTCGGTCATCCGTTCATCTTCCGTAGAATTAGGTCCCTGTAGTCCCTCCTCTGCTGCCAAGTTGCTATCTACATTCTTCGCAGAAGGCAAACTTTCTGTATCCAATTCACCTTCTGTAGAATTAGGTCTATGTAGTCCCTCCTCCGCGATTAAATTGCTATCAACATTTGTTTCAGGAGACGAACTTTTTGTATCCAATCCACCTTCTGAAGAATTAGGCCCCTGTAGTCCCTCCTCCGTTACGGTGCTACCTACATTCTTCTCAGGAGCCGGACTTTTTGGGTCTAAACCTTGCACTCCTATCAGGGATAAATAAGAAGCTGGGTTAGTTCACGTACAATCAAGCTCAAGACTATCCTAGATAAATGCCAGACACTTACCTGTTTCAGATAGGGTTCTTATGCAATCTTCTCTAGAGTTGCTGCTAAGTAGATGTCTCTCAGGTGAATGAGTACCTTCCTTGGGTACAGAGGAAGAGGTTGCTAAGGTTTCTTCTCCCAATGCTACTCGTTTATAAACTTCACACTCTGATTCTTTCAACTCTCTAAATGAAGGAAGGTCGTGTCTCTCAGGTGAAAGAATTCCTTCCTTAGACCCGGAGGGAGAGGCTGCCATGGTTTCTTCTCCCAGTGCTACTTCATCATTAATTTTACACTCTGATTCTTTCAACTCTCTAGATGAAGGAAGTTCATCAGAGAAACTCCTACCAGTTCCAGAGACACCAGCTTCAAAATCTTTGTTAGCATCAGAGCCGAGCACTTCTTCTGACATGACTGATTCTTTTGACTCTCTAGATGAAGGAAGGCCATCTGAAACACTCCTACCAGTTACAGAGACACCAACTTCACAATCTTTGTTCGCGTCAGAGCCTTGTACTTCTTCTGACACAAATGACTCTTTAGATAAATGGTAATCATCAGAGACATTCCTAGCAGTTCCAGAGTCACCAACTTCACAATCTTTGTTCGCATCAGAGCCTTGCACATCTTCCGAAATAACTGAATCCTTTGACTTACTAGATGAAGATCGGTCATGTGAGACACACCTACCAGTTCCAGAGAAACCAATTCCACGATCTTTGTTAGTGTCAGAGCCTTGCACGTCTTCCGACACTACTGACCTTTCTACCAGACTCTCCACCGATTGTTGATGATCCCTCTCATCTCGAGAGCTTTTTAACTCCTGCTCCTTGGCAAATGCATCTTCTGGTAAAGAGAGCTGTTAAATTGGTCAAAACAAAAGGTCAAGCAAGTTTAGTGAGGGAAATTAATATCATAAAGTGGCTGTCAAGTGCACGAACAACAAAATCAAACATGAAATATGAAAAAGTAATTAGACGGTGGGCAATCAAGACAATCAACAATCAACCTACAACCTTTATAACAAAACGAGACTAAGGGGTTCCAAGGAAACAAAAGCTGAGGCAAATTGAATCACTCATTCAACAAATACCAACCTGTTCTGAGGGATCTGCAACTCTTGGCTGAAGCTGATTTCCAACATGATCTTCTGAACTTAGCTCAGTGTTGGTTGTTTCAGAAGTAAAATCATCAGGCAATCTACTGTCAACTTGTGGCTGCAACTCACTTGGACCACAATGCTTCTTTACATTAGCAGATTCATAAAACATGGCCTCCTCGGCTGATATCTGTTGTTCTTCTACATTGAACACCGGGGCAGGTTCACTCTCCGGGTTTCCAGTTTCTTGATCCAGTTGGATGCTGCCGCTATTATCTTCAGGTTGAGAAACTGTATCATCGAACTTAGCTGCACTAGTATTAGCCTCGCTGCCATGCTTCTCAATTAATATAGTAGCTTCAACCTGAGACTCTGGAAACGACTTTACAGAAGCTTCTGTCTTGTCTTCTGAATTCTTCTCGGGATGCTCTGCAGTGCCATGAGCTTCACTAGGTTCTATGGAGGCATCAGGAGGAGACTCAGGAGGCCGCATGAAGCTTACATTAGCAACATCAACAGAATCATATGAAATGCGAGGCCTCTTAGCACCTTGCGTTTGTACAGGTGAACCAACCTTCTTGGTAGATGCACGTTCAACAGTACTACTCGATATAACCCTGGAAGATACGTGTCTCCCAACACCTTGAGATTGTCCAACTGAAACGACCCTACTGCTGGATGCATCTATACCAAGAACAATGGTATTTGTCTTACTTCTGGAAGTGTCTTTATCAACACCAGCAGATTCTAGAGATGAATCGACCTCGGTCTCAACTTTGCAAGAGTCATTATTAGTCACAGAATCAGCATCCACAGCAGGCAGATTCCTCTTATCCACCTTGAAACCTACTTCAGATACAGACTGGACAAATTTGTCAAGGGAGATTCCTTCAGCAGGAATGACTTCTTGTGAGGAAGACACAGATCCATGAATTTTATCCCCAGAGCTTTGGCCTTCGGTGACTGGTGAAGGTTTCATACAAGATACAGGTGTGCCAGCGCTTTTACATTCACTTTTAGAAGAGTCACTACTCTTACCCTTAGATGAGCAAGACTCAGAGAAGATCTCCTTCATCACACGTGCAACATCAGTCACATCTGCAGTCTGAATCCGGCCTAAAGATGTATTTTCCCTTTGTTTAGAGTCTTGACAAACAAAAGCATTAGCCACCTGGGTCTCCTGGAAGGATAATCAAACAAACATACAGCACGATGAACTTTTGAGCAGAAGCTAGAACGTTCAAGGTTTTATGAGCTTACCTACAATAAGGACTGAAGAGCTACACGTACCTGTACAGCAAGTGTAATCTCCTTAGCTTCGGTCCCTTGTCTGTTCCTCAGGGACATGGTCTTAACTCCCAATGAATCAGCAGGAACTGTAGGTTTTCTTCCCCTTCGCCTGGGGGCGTCCGTTCTGCCTGCCGCCTTTCTGCCTCTACCTCTACCTCGACCTGCTTGAGGTGGGTCAGGTTGAAAGACTGAGGCTACAGAAGAAAGAGCTGGGGTTGGCTGAGAGACAAAGGCACTTTTCACGACCAACTCTGGTATAGTCTGACCAATTTCTACACCAGAGCCATGCTGTGATTCACATGAAGGACCCACAACTGCAGACTCTTTACCTCCCGCGCTTGTATTTTGAGCTCTATCAATGAAAGCCCTGCTGGGTGTATGTACACCACCTTCCTTTCTGAAGGGGTCACCTGATTTTGATGTAGAACTACTTTCAACAGGAAGCTCCTTAATATTGGTGGCTGCATGAAACACGGTAGCAGTTTGATCTCTCACAGGAGAAGAACCTGCATAAACACTTTGTTTTAGTATCAATTTGTCAATTCCATAGTTATTGTTCACGAAACTCAGCATGCAAACCAAGTCTCATAAGGAAGGGGCATATAGTTTTTCATCTATCTAGCAATAGATGTAGGAGCATTATGTATGGTGGTTGATAAGCTGGTTGGCTTACCCTGTTGGGTCACTTCACCTGAATGTTGGCTTAGCATAGATCTAGTAGCAGCGTTGTGCATGGTGGCCAAGCTTGTTGGTTCATCCTGTTGGCTCACTTCACCTGAATGTTGGCTTGACACCTGAGCTGGAATAGTTACTTCGGGTGTTTGGCCCAGGTCACCTTTCGTTGATTCATTGGAATCATTACCTTGATCATTTTCAGCTACTGCAGCTTTGCCTCCCAAAGTGTCTACTACAACTGGAACAGCAGGTGGAACTTGAACTGAAGGTGGTAGGCTCATATGTGAAATCTGAGCGGCTGAAATGACTGGAACATCAGGCGGAACTTTAACTGAAGGTTTCCTTCCTCTGCGTCGAGGAATTCCAGTCCCACTTTGAGCCTTTGGACTCTGCTCTTTGATCCGAGTGGAAGCAGAAGGGATAGATAAAGATGTCGCAGCAGGAGGGACTGGACCGGTATCTACAGTAGTCTGTGAACCAGACTGATCGGGTGCTGCACTGCTCACTTGAACAGGTGCAATAACTGGTGCTATACCAGGATATCCAGAAGCTGCGACGCCACTGGCATTGATTACAGGATTGTTGGAGACATTCTGCGAAGCTTCACCAATAACGGGAGCATGAGATGCAATGCTCTCAGGAGTAGCTGACACAAATCCCATTTTCCTTCCCCTACCGCGTGGTGTATATCCACCACGTTGAGACTTACGGCCGCGGCCCCTTGATGCCATTGGTACTGAAGGAGAAACCAGAGAAGGTTGTGAACTCTGCCCAGAAGTTACAGGAATAGTTGGTTGCAGTGTGGAAGCAGTGCCCGCGTCAGCTTGAGGGGCAATTGTACCAACACTGACCAAATTTGGTGCAGGAGAGGGATTAGGAGCTAATGTACTAGAAGAACTACCATCAACTCCTGTCTGTAACCCCATATCTACTTTGACAAGTCCAGCAGGAGTCGGCACTGACAGCTCTGGTGGAGTTACATTTGATCTTTTTGGCCTTCCCCGTCCTCTTTTAGATGGAGTTATTGTTACCTCCCTGGCCGGTGGTGGAAGTACATGCTGCAACAACTCTGGTTCAGTAGGTGCAGCAGTAGGTTCTGGATTAGCAATGACCGAGACAGAAACACTGGCATCTTTTGGGAGGTTCATCTCGACTAGTTCCTCTTTTGGTTTTGGGGAATCAGGATTGTCAGCCTGACACAGCTTTTCAAACTCCTCTTCAGTCCATTGTTCTTCATATGACCGCACCTAAACAGAACAACTTAAATAACTTAACAAGGCGCCTCTTAATTAAGGAGCCAACAGATCATTAAGAGACAGCAAAAACAAAATTGAAGTTGGGTAACAGACCTCTCTTGCCCGCTTGCCCCTTCCATAGTGCTGAAAATCAAGACCCTGTGACTGACCTTTCCGCTTTGTCCCGATACTAGGTGCCTCATCATCTTTTGGCACATCATATAGCTTTATTTTTTCAAAGAATGACGTCAGGTCGTCATCTGAAACCAGGCGAGAAGGCATGGGAGGTAATGGTTCAGGAACATCTGTTCCCTGTCCGGCTAGTAACTTCTTCCATATTTCCTGCAGGTATGTGAAATCGAGTAAGTCTAGCCACCATAAAGTATCAAGCAAGAACTGCAAACTTCAGCATCATACCGTCTCTTGTTCCCGCCGTTGTTTGTCAACCGATTCAAATACATCAATTTCAGACTCACTGCAGGCAAAGGTTCGCAATCAGTAATTTTTGGTACAGACAAAGTCCAAGGAGATAATCAAACAAGATAAACTAAGGCATAAAGGCTGCCTTCACACCAAGGTACTAAGACATGGCACACTAACAAGCAATAACAAACTAACCTATGATATGTGTGCAGAATAAACATTAAAGTTCATTAGTCCATGCTCACAGTATTAACTTAATAAATTTAATCATTCAAGTCATGGTTTTGTTTAAGGAAAATCGGCTAGGTCACTTCTTTTTTTCTGCACACGGAATTACACAGCTCCATGGCTTTCAATTAATTTTCAACTTTTCCATTCACCTTAACACAATAATGAAAAGCACTTAACTGACTCATAGGACCAAAGCGAAGACAAAAGCAAACAAAACAAGAAACAAACACATGGCTTCCGGTGCCTTTACTTAAGGCCAGCCGAAGAGAAGCTCAGCTAAAGGGATGCCTTTAACAGCCATGCCTCCAATCCTCTGACAGATGAAAACAAACTGTAAGCAACAAATACCTGCGTGCTAAGATATCATTCAAAGCATCATCATCCAAGACAGGGGCAGCTTCTTCTTTCTTTGACTCACGCAGGAGGGCCTCCAAATACTCTCTACGATCTTCAGCACTGTGCAACAGAAAAGTTTATTAAGCAATGGAAATGTACCTAAGTTAAACCACCAGGAATTTCTATTGCAAGATTCTATGGAGAAACAGTTAAAATGACGCATTCTAACTCACCTTGTATTGTTGTCAAAGAAACCAGCTGTAATACTCTGGTTAGCAACTCCCAGTTTATGCTCGGCAGCAGCTCTGACTTGTTCTTCAACAGTTTTCACCTTAAGACATGAAAATTATAAAATGAGGGAACTAATCGAAACCCAAGAATGCTTTAGGCCGACATTTAGATACAAAAGCCACAGTTTTGCTTGGGGAGGTAGCGACATACTGTTTCAAATCTAAGAACAAGCACATCCCTCTTCTGGCCAATCCTGTGAGCCCTAGCTTGTGCTTGAAGATCCACCTAATAATACAAACAGAACAAGGTATTAAGAAATTGGGAGTTATAAAAGCACTAGCATGCTCCAGATTCAAAGTCTAGTTCTCTTCAAAACCTGAGGATTCCAGTCCGTGTCAAATATGATGACAGTGTCTGCAGCCTGAAGATTCACTCCAACACCACCAGCCCGGATGCTGACAATGTAAATTAAATGTTAGTTCTTCGACACCACAAACTATCAGTGTTAAAGCCAAATCCCTGACCAGGAGGCAGGAATGAGGTAAAATGCTCACAGACGAAAGATTTTGAGGCAACAAAAAGTCAGCTCATAAGCTAGTCAAAATTCATTGTTTTACAAACCAGCCCCAAAAACCAACACCAAGCGTATTTATTGCTTGCTCTTGGATGCAACAGATCGTCATGCAACATCTTTTCTTCATAGATGATGCTGCGTCCAAGATTTGAACCTAGTATGGGTTTCTCACATCTTATAGTTGAACTCAATTGGGCCAAAATAAAATAAAAATTAAAGCTATAACGCGCTAGAGGTGGTGATCACACGAAAACCAGATTTGCAGTTTCACCAGAAGAGTGAATCTACTCCAACGCTAACAAAAATATTATCCAGTCACATCCCAAAACCAATCTCTTCTTTTTCCTTGTAGATCTCCACTTAATACTCATATTATGATCCATTCCATAAACCTCAACCTTATGCATATATGGTCCCTCATTTACCTGAGCAGAAAGATGAAAAAGGGAGAACTTTGTTTGTTGAACATATCAATAAGTGCACCACGGTCGCCACCAGAGGTATGACCATCCAGTCGAAGGTATCGGTACTGTTTTGCGGTGAGATACTCTTCCATAATATCAAGAAGCCTTGTCATTGTTGAAAAGAAAAGTACCTGAAAATTGCCAGAACCACAACTACAAATTAATATGATGTATAATACATCAATTTACTGTCTCGCCCCACAAATGAGAAAGGTGCATAGAAAAGTATAGAACTGACAAATATAAATGAAAGAAAACAACCAATTAACAAAGTATACATCGCCAGCATGCTAAAAAAGAATTATCTCATAAATAAAAGGCGTGTTTGTTTTAATTTGAATAAATAAACTTTAAAAGCTCAAAGTATATATTTTCTTCATCTAACTTTAACATCTAAAAGCTTACTCACTACAAACATCCATTTCCAACTATGTTCCTTGAAAATTCCTAAAATTGTAGCCATACTAGTCAATTACTATTAGCAACTATGTATAAAAGGCAAGTCTCAACCCCAAAAGAGTTAGCAGAAGGACATGTGTCCAAACTACCTAAAATACCACAATTATCTGCTTTTTAGCAGAAGGACATGTTATTCTGCTTCTTAGTTGTCTCTTCATCTATGCACAGCTATGCCGTGATATTTTCTATATATTTCTTTTACAGGTATAGTCTTTTTATTTTCCAGACACAATTAGAATTTTCTTTCTCCACAACCGTAAAAAAAAATTGACCCGACAATTAAAATTTTCCTTTTCTTCTCATCGGATTTCTATCCTAATAATATCCCTCAATGCGCAATGTTACCAGGCAGCAACTTACGAGTAACTAAAAAAGTCAAAATTATCCTAGCAAAAACTAAAATAAACACACTAAAAAGAATCAAACATAAAAAATCAACAAAAAGTAATACATCGAAAAGGAACATGGACAACTACGGAGTATCGAATCCATACCCGATGGTCTGTAGCTTTCAGTTTGGGTAACAATCGATCTAACATCTCAAGCTTCCCACAAAGCCTGATGATTGGTGGCAGAAAATGCTTAGGCATAAAGCTCTCCACCTACAAAACATGTACATTTTATAAATGAAAAGGGTTGTTAACATTAGCAAAAAGACAAAAAAGAAAAATGAGCGTTAAAGCAGTCCCCACCTCACCCCGCAAGAAGAGAAGGAACCGGGAAGCAGTGTAGGAAAGAAAAATAAACAAAATTAGCCCCAGCACGAAAAGCATACCTCATCTGAATGCAGCTGACTAAGATAAGGGTGATTGCATATATTGCGAAGCTCCATGACCGAGTTGTGGACTGAGCGTGCCTGCAAAAGACAATGGCAATCAAGTTTAGACTAAGGAACTATACTATATGCACTGTAAATCATAAATCTTCAAAGTCAGACAAAAACACAGAATAAAATATACTGTCGATAAACCTTTGTACTTCCAATTGCGCCAAGATTATCTTCAACCCGTTGCATCAAAAGTTTCTGATATGCAGATGCTTCACACCTAATCAGTCTCTCAATCTTTTCAGGAAGCTCATTCTCAACCTATCAAAGTATTTCCAGAATGCAGGAAGCATGTATAAATAGCTAGGAGTAAAACTGTTTGATAAAACAAGTATAAATGAAAGAAACACTCCATTCAGGATATCCAACGAGAGAAGACCTTGTGTTTTAGTCTTCGAAGAACAAAGGGTCTCAGAACTTGATGAAGACGATTTATGATCAACAAATTCTCTTCCTCGGATAGTAAAGCCTAATGAGGGGGAAGCAAGTGCTTGTAGAATGAGTATAACTTCACCAAACTAAGTATCTAAACCAGTAAATTAAATGGCTTACTTCATCAGCCGAGTTATCAGCAGTACCCTCAAATGGCTTGTTGAACCACTGAGAAAAATCTTCAGATGAGTTAAAAATGTTGGGCAACAAAAAATTTAGTAGCGCCCAGAGTTCCTCAAGATTGTTCTGCAGAAGAGAAAGATCAAGCAGTCAATTCATATCCCCAACCAGAAGCCAGGGACAGATATAATGCATGAAGCACACAAACACCCAGAAGTCTAAGTAAAAGAACTCAGCTTCTAAATTATAGGCCATAAACAAAATTGATAAATTCAAAGAGACGAGAAGGGGGAAAAAGACCACAGTACCTGCAGTGGTGTTCCAGTTAACAGCAGCCTGTGAGAACTCTGATAGTGCTTCAATTCAGCATTTAATTTGCATGAAGCATTCTTTATGCGATGGCCTTCATCAATGATAATGTAGTGCCAATGAATTTTACTTAGTTTTGGTCTATCATGCTTGTTCATTAGGTACTCATATGTTGTGAGAAGGACATTAAACTTCTGGTGGACAATCTTCTCCCTGAAATGAACAGAAACAACCTTGCTGACATCTGAGACCCAACATAACAGAAGAGAACAAGAAAACAAGTACATCAAGAGTCCGCATGTTCTTACTTAAATAATTTACGCCTATCTTCTGGAGGTCCAGAATAGACGATTTTATGTATACTGGGGGCCCAGAAACTAATTTCCGATTCCCATCCTGGTAAAACAGAAGAAGGCACAACCACCAAGAAAGGACCTCTGTCATTTTTGCTCTCCATCAGATAACAAATTAGAGATATAACCTGGTCAAAACCCATGGCAGAAATGAAAGTCATTAGTTTTTGTGATATCGCAACTAAGTGATATTGTATTATTACACACAAACCCCATACCTGAACAGTTTTCCCAAGGCCCATTTCATCAGCAAGAATTCCATTTAAATGGTTGTTATATAGTGAAACCAACCACCTCAATCCATTCATCTGGTACCTGGAGAACATGAGGGCAATTTACGAAATATTTTTAAGTCAGAATGACAAAGCACCTGTATCTACACAAGATATCACCCTCACGCATTAATAGAACACAAGAGGCCAGGAGAATATCCACTGCCTCAACATCACAATTATGCACAAATGCACAGGTGCTTGCACACAAGGACGTACAGGGGTAGAGAGAGAAAATGATCCATAAAACAGTAAAGAAAGCAAGATGTACTCACTCCCTCAATTTTCCACCCTTGAGAGAAGTTGGTTGCTCCGCAATGCCCTCTTTTATACTGCATACCAAGAACCAACCATTATTGATCGAACAATAACTGGATGTTCAACACTCGAAGCTCCACATATCAACAAACAGAGTAAAAGTACAATCTAGAAGAGCAAAGTCAAGAATGATTTGGTTTTTAAATAAAATAACAAATCAAATTGACAAAAAGAAAGCAACTCAACTATACACAAAGTGGGGCCACATTTTAGAATATAAGGATAACAAAAGCAGCTTAATACCTATGAGCCATTAGGTAGTACTTCTCGTTGCTTTCCAAATAATGCTGGAAGACAACAGGAATAATGAGAATGGAAAACTAACACATAAAAAGTAAAACACAAACTCAAGATTGCTCATATGAGACTTGCCTTTGCTTGGTCGCTTTCATCTTCATTGTCAAAAGCTGTTTCATTCTCAATAGCAGCAATAGTACGTGACTCATCCATGTTATTCTCAAAACGGCTTCCAATAGCCTTTGCTGCCTGTAACCTGGAACCCAGCTTTTGCAGGTATTTCTCTGTCTCTTTTAGCAATTGTTTAACACGATCTGATTTTGCATCCTACAAAAGAACCACCAACTAACATTGCAACAAACTTGATAAAAAAACTGCCAACCAAGATTCAGTCCACTTCAGAGAACAACATCCGACCTGCACCATACGCAGATATCCTTCCACATCATTAATCTTCAGCAAATTAATCTTCTCGCGCTGGATTCGGTCGATTTTCTCGCGGTGAGCACGCTCCTTCCTTTTGTGGAACTCCTTTGCATATCTGTTGAAACCCTTTAACCTTTCTCTCTTGAACTTGAACACATCCTCCATTTTTTCCCTGGAGTTAGGCCACTCAGCTAGTCAATAAAACATTGCCTAAAACTAAAAAATGAGCTACAAAGATAACAGCTACATATACATCTATAAAGGATAAAGCGAATCAAAACCAAAATAAAAAATGAGGTCCTTGCCTGTGAACTTCAAGCTCAGAAAAAAATTCCTTCTGCCGCTCTCGGATTCTCTTCTGCCGCTCTTCCTTCATCTTTTGCTCATACTTTTCAAGTTGTTTTATCCTTCTACCATGTTTATGCTTTTTGTAAGATTTTAAGCGCTCCATGTCGCTTGTGACTGGCTTAAAAAAATCATTCAGAAACTCACTGCCAAAATTTACCAGCATAAGGGAGTCAAAATTACTAGAAGGCAGGGACGCGATCAAATTAACATATGCATATAAAAATCCAATGAGTCACAACTGTTAGAAAGAAAGGAGAAATCATTACCTTTTCAAACGGCGCTGCAGATCCAGCAACTTAAGCTTTTTCAATTCTATGACACTTTTGGTTTTGGCAGATGTATCTTCAGAGGAGCTCACAGTTTCCTTAATGAATTAAAAAAAAGAGACATGCACATGCAAGCACATACTACATCAGTGCAACATTCCAATCCTATATAATTTCATTAGGATGAAAATATAAGTATATATTATAAGAAATGAAAATGAGGAGAGCACCAACAAGTACACAAGAGAAAAAAAAAACAATATGAGAAAACAGAGTATCATAACGAACCTGCAACTGGTTAAAACTAATTGTTATTCTTTGTCTTGCTTTTTGCTCCTTTAAAGCCCACTTTTCTTCCACTAAAAGCTTCTTTCTTTGCTGATCCATAATCCACTTCTCTGACATGGTGTACCTTGGGGGTGGCAAATCAACAGAAGCTGAGTTATCTTCATCATCTTGTTCAGCTAAAGCATGATTTCCATTTCTTGAAGAGTCGTCAATTAGCGGGACTTTGCACCCATCTGGATGGTATCTAGTCTGAGATTCAGGGAATTTTGCATCATCTGCAAGTAACCAAAACAAAGGACACGTGCATGGTAAGTGCTTCTGCTGATAACACCTCCAAAGGCATAATCCAGTAAATGGTACACATGCACATATAAACCTAAATGAATCAAAAAGAAATCATCATCAGTAATTTATTTACCAGAGATACCACCGTTCACAAGATTTTGGGATTGCATAGGAGCACTGTCCTTTTTGTTTAAAGCCATGTTATGCTGAGCACCCCATGATGGTAATGATTCCTGAGCCACCTCATTATGACTTCCTGCCCAAGTCATTGCCTCAGGGTTCAGTTGCTTGTTTACACCAGTAGAAAAAGAGGCCTGATTGATTCTTCCACTCTGGGCACGTCCATTATCTATGCTTTCTACAGTATTACCAATCGGTGAACTGCCCCTTGTATTCGATGAATCATCCTGCTGCAATGGATTAGAAGCGAACGATTGTGCCCCAACAGTTTCCTGGGCCTGCTTCTCGGCATCCAGCTTTCTTGTCACAAGATGCTTCCCATCATCAACAAGTACGGAATGGTCAGAATGTGAACCTACTTTTTCATCAGGCTTCAATTTGTCAACATCTTTTGGTAAAGAGTTACCATCTAAATATCTTACAGCAGTTGAGGCAACCGGAGGGACCTTATCAGTTTCCCTTGCACTATTTGCCCATGCAAATGAGGTTGCAACTCCTGGAAAGTTGGTTTGCTCATTAGAAGATTTTCCTTTATGATCCACCAGCTCCCTACGAATAGCTTCTGCATTTACAATAGATAATCACCAACTAGAAAATAGTAGCTGAACATTCAAATGAGAGAGTACACTGAACGATAAATATTACAAGAACCTATAGGGGTAGTGTAGACTAAGCTCCGTCTGCAGTTTAATATGGCTGTGTAGAACATCTTATGTCTAAATTTAAGAGCTAAAACTTAAGCTGTAGGAGTAAGAGTAAGAGTGGTTAGAGTTTACAAATAGTGTTGATCACAGATTCTCTTTACTATCAAATCAAAAGGAACGGGTAAATTTTGTAAAATAACTAAAATGGAAAACCTTTTTAGGTTTAAAATTTAATTTGGGGAGAGGGGAGTGGGGAAGAAATGTTACGGAGATACTAAATTTGTGGAGGCCACCTCCAATATTGATCTACATTTTATACTCAAAACTTAAGAAGTACACTTATTTGAGGTATTTCCTCAACTGACATTTTAGGAGGTAAAAAATAACATCTAACAAAAATAGCCTATGTATATCCTACTCCAAGACAATCCCAATGGCTTGTGTCTAAAGATCAACTCAATGGCACAGAAGATACTTGATAGGCAAAGCTCTGCAAACACATAATTAGCAGTGTGCATTGAAATATCCTTTTCGGTATCTTCTATTTCTAAAGCCAAACATAGCATCCTGAATCTGGCAGCACCAGATACATGAAGTAATATCAACTGAAGCTCACAACATGAGCCTGGTATTGGGGTTTCAAGAGACCTTGTCATGTAGCCAATAAACAGTTCTTACCATCTCTATTAATGATACTTCCAAGAGCTATCTCGAGATGTAACCTCTTGGGAGCCAAACCATTCCTGCATATTCAAATAAATAAATCATTGCAGAAACTAAGTGAACAAATACCTCACCTTTCATTACTGCCATAAGAAGTCAAAAGCACAAAAAGTCTTGCCAACCTAAATGCTAGAAAGACGAGGCATTGGGCCCTAAGCTGTCTCAATTGTTGCTCCCTGAAAGGCATGCCAGGTGACGCATTACCCTGAGAAATTGGAGATTTTCCCGTATCTCTAGAAGCTGCTGTCGCCTGGCAATAATTAATAGATTAAAACCACATCCAAAAATACAGTGCACGATTAATAGATTAAAAAATAAACAAAAGAAACATCATCAAGATCCAAATCATTGACTAAAATTAACTTAGGATGAAACAATCATTCAATGGCAGAATAAAATAAGGGTATAACACAATCTACACTAAGTCCCGTGGACTTCTATCCAAAGTTGAAAACAGATGCCAGTACAGAATCTAAACAGAATTGAAGGAAGGGAATTCTCCAATCCTAAATGGGTTCAATATCTCTGGGCCTTGCAAAATAAAACTGAGTTTTATTAGGAAGATTGCTAGAGTACCTGACTGAACCTAGTTGGGTCACCAAGTATATTTGAACTGCCTCCATCATTCTCTGGAACCCTTCTTACTGAAAGTGGCGTGGATGTCTCGTCCATGCGGTTAACTTGGAAATTATGTCCTCCTGTGGTATTTTCAGAGAGACTTGCTGCAGTTTGTCCTGCCAATCCAAGCAGATGACTTTCAGCACCACTGATCTGTGCTGAACCAGAAAATCCTAGTTCCCCCATTGCATTTGAACCAAAAGGAACAGATATTCCACCCTGACCTTTGATAAAAGAATCTATAGCATTAACATCAAGATTTTGAATCCCACAGACAGCTAGACATCAGCGATATGTCTGCAATATGTCTCAAGGAAGAAGCTATACTGTTGTCTCTTATGGTATAAATAAGCAGCAAGAAGCAGTGTAAAGGGAAGCAAAAAGTTCAGCAGACAACTTAATGTTATTCTTTCCCCTAAAATACTTAACTAGCTTTAAGGAGGAATATTTTGCCCCAGTATGATGGACCACTCTTGATTCGTGGCTAATTAAAAGTATGCCCCAAGGAGTAAGTCCAACTTTAGATGATAACCTCGAACTAAATCTAAGTTCAAAGCTTACGGATAGCATTAGAAAAATGTGGTAAGAGAAAACATAAAACACAAACATTATTTGGTGACTGATCTTACTTGATACAAGAGATGGTACCATTGACTGCTGCAAAATTGCTTCTCCTGACACACCACCGGAAACAGCATTGCCTGAAAACCTGGGGAACTGAGACCGATCCAGTGCTGCCTTATTTTGATTCCATGACATTCTGGGAGAGAGATTTTCATGTGCGGGCGGAAAAGAACCCCCTTGTTGACCAAAAGATGTATGTCCAGATGAAGCTTCCAGCTGACTACCACCTGGAACCATACTGAAGCTACTATTTTCACTACCCATAGTGGAGAAACCCCCCAATGGGTCAACCCTGTTGGCCTTTCCTTTCCTCAAATCAACTGCAGAATGAGCATCAACATGTTGGGAGTCATCTATATGAGATTCAGAGGGCAAAGAAGAATCGCCGCGCTTCCTCTTGGTAGCCTTTTTACCATCCTTTTGATTTCCTACTCTATCTTGAGATTGGGAATTAGCAGATCTGGTATCCAAACTCGAAGGACTTTCATGATCGAGAGACTGACTGCTCCTATGAACTCCAGATCCCTGATAAACATCATGGACAGTACTACCAGGGGCAACAGGCAGCTTGTTGGTGACCAGGGAATCAACCTTAGATACCTCATTGTCAGCCATAGCATGAGAAGGACCTGCAGAGTTTGCTGTTTTGTTCATCAAAGATGGCCCAAATATGACACGAAGTAAAAAATTATTTTCACTTTGAAAAGAAAGGATGCAAACTATAACGAGAACCAATTCGGATACCACAAGTTTCACCTGCATATTGTGCACCAGCCAAGTCTCCACCTTGAGACCCACCAGTCATAGGAAGACGTTGAGATTTTAAAGATTCAATATCAAGGCCATTTTGGTTTATAACAGTCTCCATAGCCCTAGACAAAACAACAAGGCAATATTAACAAAACTTTGAACAGCTCCCCTTTTTCATTATAGTATATGTAATCATTGATTAGTGTCAAACGTATACTTCAGGAAATGGTCAGTGAACTCTATTTCTCTTGAATCTTCATCTAGTTGTATAGAAAATTCAGATATTTAATGCACATATGACACATCTCTTGTTCAGAGTGGGTTCACAAGTAATCAAAAGCTTCGGATTGGGACTACCCTCACTCAATAATGACTGTCACAAAAATCAAATTGGTATATTATTTTTCCCCCAATTTATTAGTCATTTTGCTCCTTGCATCAATCAAGGGAGGATACTAGGCTAATATAGAGAGGAAACAGAAATAGTTACGAAAAATGGACAAAAGGTCTTACTTTCTTTTGTTTCAACACAGAATCTAGAAACACTAAATGGAAAAGCACACACCAACAACACCATTTACACAGCGTGTAAATGATGGACTTTCCATCGGTAAACAAATGAATAATTAATTTGAACACTGAAAGAGTCAGAAAATGAAACCAAGAAGAGGCAAACGAAAACTAATTGATGATTTAAGAGAGAGGAATTTTAAATTATTGAGAATCAAATAAGTAAGCTTCATAAGAGAAATTTGGAAAATGAAAGATTTGGATACCCTTGAGATGGCCTACGACACTTTTACGGAAACAGAAAGAGGAAGAATTGAAGCAGAGAGCAAAGTAGAGGAGGCAGACGGATCAAAGTGGGAAAACCCTACAAGGCATTTTAATAATGGTTGTGCCTACTTGGGTTTGATGGACCACCTGAATAACACTCAACACAAAAGTTAAACTTTTGGTTCTGGAAATTCAAAACTTAGGCCAGCTGTTATTAATATTAAGGTAGATTGACCAGATGGCACCATAGAAGGCTAAAACAGAGCAAGTGAAGAAACAACAAAAAGAAATTTATTTTATGAAAATCCCGTCAAGGACCAGAGTTAGTTAGCTCATGTTTTATAGAGTCGCAGGGAAAACAAAACACAAAGAGTAACACAGGTACAGTGGAGCAAAACTTAACCTTTAGCCGCTTCATTCAACAACTTCTTATACAGTAGAAAGAAAGCCAAAGCGTTCAAAAAACAAATGCATCGTGACAGTGTGTGAGGCAAACTGAAGATTATGAATTGCTTAAGTACCCACTAGGGGGGAAAATTGACAGATGAATACTACACAGCAGACAGAGGACAGCTTACCCAGTATGAACTGAAGTATTCATTCAAGTCCCAACTTTTACCACTAAATTAATTGATAAACCAAAACAAACTAAATGCTCCAGGTTGCATGTGGGTAATATCAATGGTAACTAGCAGTCTACTTTACCTTGAAATTACTTGATAGGGCATGGAGTGCTCCTTCCCACTCGATTTCATATGTTGTAATATCTGAAATGCATAATCATTCACAGAATTTAGTCTAAACTTAAGAGTAGGAAAGAGATAAAAGTGGAGGAGTGTTTCTTGAATCAGAACAGCACTCACAACATGAAGTTTTGCAGCCAGTTTTGCCGGCTCATCAGTCGATTCTTGAATTAGTTTATGTAGAAACTTGGCAGCCTCCAATTCCACATTATGAGAAGGCTGTGGGGACGCCATCTCATGTCACCTTCTGAATAAAATCAAACAGAACATGAACAATACGCAGAGTCAGCACCGTCATCGTTGTTGAGTAATCTTTCTAGACATCTAGGTGAAGTCATCGTGAATTCCTCCCACAACAAAAAAAAATACCTATTTTCTCTACCCAAATAAGGACAATACAGAACTCCACAAATTGCTGAAGAATTTCCAAACAGACAATGGAGAAATGAATCACTCTACCATAGTACTCAAAACCCTCTCACAGTCTCAGTTTATTGTGAAACCAACACAGTAAAATGCCCCTCAGTCCTAAAACTCCAACGCATGAGCTTCTGTCCTCTCGTATTTCATACATGCGCCTAGGGTTTGGACCAACTCAACTACAGATAACACCACAACTTGCCCAACCCAGTTGGGACATCATGCAGTAGGAAGAACTAATAACGAGATAAACAAGCTAAAGCAAATTTGAAGACGACTGGGGTATTTTACAATTGCGCGATTGAGCATCATCAAAACCTTGGCGAGCACAAGACCAAGCACACAAGCAGAAACGGGGACACAAGTTCCCTGAATCACACGAAGATTTGCATGCTCAGCTTAAACAGACTTTCTACCATCCCTAGAGATGGAGAGAGGAAGGAGAGGATAAATTCAACCGTGCGCACAATAAATTTCCCGGAAAAGAAACATACTATCCTGAAAAGACTCCGGAGGGGGCGAAAATGGCAAGCGAAGAACCTAGACCTACAAAACGGGCATGGAAATGGCCTCTGCGGAGTTTACCTGATCGGAGATCAGAACCGGGAATTGCGAGGAGACAGTGACTCAGTAGCTGAGTTACATGAACAAAAGAGCAATTTGCTTTCCAAAATCAATTTTGTGCAGTTGTGGAATGGAAAAGAGTTAATTTCGAGTTTTCGACGACGACGACGGCGACGACTCGCACGCACCACCGACTCCTATACGTATCTTTGATTCCGGCACGTGCGAAGTTTTTGTTATTGTTTTCGTGAATATCTATTTTTTAATAAGTAAAAATATTCTCAAGGCAAAAGATAATGATAATAATCACCGTAAAAATAATCATAAAATTTTTTCTCTGGTAGAAAATAGTAACAAAATGCTGGCGATTTGTTTTTCTGCCTGAGAAATTTTTTTTTTTATAAACCTACCTGAGAATATTTGTTATTTGTTTTATTGTGAAATATGGTATGGAGTTTAGTGTGTTTAATGTTGGATATGAATCATAAAATGCTAAAATTTGATAATGTTGAAAGAAAATATCCGTGAGGTTAATAATTGAATGTTCTCTGTTGACTAAAAATATTTGAAATTTCTTATTAAATTTGAGAGTCTTAAGTGTTTAGTATGGGAAAATTTGTACAAGACAAAGTTACAAGTTACAACAATACTATAAGAGTCGGAGTTTGAAAGACAAACTATGGAAAATTATGTTGATTTGCTTTTTAATTGAGAGAAGAAAATATGTTGAATCTTATTGAATATTTTACCAAAATTAGATAGAAAAAGTCCTAAATCATGTACATTTATACTTCTTCCTTCTAATTGTATTAGGTCTCAACCAACACTATTTTATTATTTTGAAAATATATTAAATAATTTTGAAAAAATAGGGAGAAGTCTAAAACTTAAACGATTTGTACTCTATTTCCTTTTAAACGTGTGAGATTCAACTAACATTATTTCCATGTAATATATTTTTATAGTGTGAGATTCAACTAATATTATTTCCATGTAGTATATTTTTATCGTCTTTTTGATTGTCACGAAATAGAATTTTCTTGTAGTGGTATGGTTTTTAGATCTTTGTACTCTAGAAGAGGAATGCATGAATGAACTAGGAATATGGCTGTGAAGAAGCAAGGATCCATAACTTTAAAACTTCACGACAGATCCTAACGGGGCAGGTAGGCTAGGAGCGGATTTGACAAGTCGTGAAAATTAAAACAGGCAAAAAGTCCAAAGACGAGTTCATAGGACACAGGTCCATAAGCCTGGCCCAAGACGAGTGGACTAGCTCATACGATGAGTTTGACCGATTGCTACGCATTGTCGTTACCTATCTTCCCCCAATTGACGAGTATGGGAAATTAAGCAAAGAGTTTATGTCAACTATTTACAACTCATCCTATGGGGGTTTAGTCATAAAAATGCTCTTTTTAGAAGTTTTGAAAAAGATGAAGACAAAGAGCAAACTCAATGTCAGTCTTATGAGATTCGATCGGAGTTGGTAATATATCACGCACAAGATGGTTTACTCATTTGCACTTGTAGTCGTGTTCTTTGTATTTGTGTTGGATTAATACCTAGATTATTCAACTTGGTGGATTGCTATACTTTTCTCAGTGTTTAGGTCATTAGATGTTGATTTCGTTTCTTTGGATTAACTACTTCTTTTGGTTTTCATATCCTATGTTTGTTCCTTATTTTTTATGATTATGAATTGTGCACTTTGGGATTATATGTCAATTCAAGCTTTATGACTGATAATGACCTCTCATTCCTGTAGAATATTAAAAAAAAAAACATAAACGACAAGGTCTTGAATATATTATAAATGTCATTTCCACTTCTGGTGGCCTATCTTTTTTTTTTTTTTTCCTTATACGATGATGGCCTATCTTTCATTAAGATTATACCGATAGGAAATTGCGTATGATCTTTGTTGGGAATCATATAGGTCTAAATTAATAGTGAGAAGTCACTTTAAATGGTATGAAATTGCATTGATAATTTGTAGAAATATAGGGGGACTTGACCAGAATAATAGTCATTTGCTTAATTGAAAGAACCATTTAATTTACTTTTTTTTAGGGAGAACCCTTTAATTTACTTGACATTCCTTCAGATTTAACTACATCCAATTTTCACTGCTTTGCGCTGTTAACTATTGCAGAGTTAGTCATTTTGCTTAGACGTTTGGTTTACGACTTCGATATACGATATTGTAGGAACCCCTCAATTGATTTACAAGCACAACCTATACAACTAGAGTGATTGACAAAAAAGTGCCCTAGAAAATAAGGCCGGTATAATTTTGGAATTATTTTTTAATCATTTGCTATAGTTAGATCACTTGCTAGTTTTATCACTTGCAACATAAACTTAGTTCAGTGGTGATTTGCTAATTTTTTTATGTGTAGTATGACCAAAGTGTATACATGGAAACATATGATTCAATTACTACTAATGTTAGGAGGGGATCAAGGGATGATATAAGTAATCTCAATATCAATTTAGTTAATGATGATTGGTACTTTGATTGGGCATCATGAATAATTTTGACAGTGAAAAAACGTGTCCTTATTTTTTCTCAATTATTTTAAAATACGACGATTCAAATGGATAATGTCGCTCGATACTTTAGTTAACATAAAACTTTTCACCTATAGATCAATTACTTCAATTGTAGTTAATGAAGCCCTTATTGATCGCGAGAATATACAAAAAAAAATTGAGCTTAACATTTTATTGGATATTGTTTTTTAATTTATCGTATAAGCATAAAATTTAACTTAGGGCATGTGTGATTCAACCCTTGATTCGGGTCTAATTGTACACATTTTCCTCTCATATCTTGATCGTTTGGTTTTGCATTTCATCGTCCCTCGATATATTTCATGCTAGGTTGTGCTTGTTTTGATACATTTCAGGTCCTAGCACGTGTGGTAGGGTTGAGGACGAGTTTCAGGACGATTGGAGGTCAAAAAGCGCAAAAACCGAAGAAAAGCCCAAAGTCACCGTGACAATTGCCCCCGTAACAGTGAAGCGCAAGCGTCCATGAAGCAGCCTCAGTTCACGGCCTGGCATTGGAGTTCACGGTCTCTAAGGCCGTTAACTGGAACCACAAACTGTGAATATCGAGGCGTCCAGCAAGGTTCCAGCAGTTACTAACGCCTAGGGAGTTCACAGTATCTAAGACCGTGAACTTGGAGCACAAACCGTGAATCCAGGAGAGTGAAGCGGTGCGTTTTGGAGACGACATTGAGTTCACGGACGCATTTAGGTGTTCACGGTCATGAACTGGCCAACGCAGCCGAGAACTGGTCACTTTCGGGCAAATATGAAGACAACAGGAGGGAGAGAGAAGATAGCTGGTTTTTGGAGAATGAACACTTTCCTTCTCTAGGATTTCAACCCAAAACACCAAAGGGGAGTTCTAGTGAGAGAGGGAGTGATCTTGGGGCTTAAGTGAAGACATTGATCAAGCTTGGAAGCTAGGAATCAAGCCTAGAAGAAGAAGATGAAGATCTAGAGGTTTCTTTGTAATCTCTCCTCTCTCTCTCTCTCTAGAAACTCACCCTCTTCTCTTGGGATTAAGAACCCTAGGTCTAGATTTTGATTTGTTGTTGATGTATGTGACAACTTACTAGTTTGATTGATGATTTTACTTAATTGATGGATGTTTTCATGAATGGCATGAGTGTGGTTTCCATTTTCATGCTTTGAGCTTTTGACCAAGGAGTGGGATAATCCCCTTAGAGCCCCTTCCTTGGCGTCTTCGGGTCAATCCTATCATATATTGCCCGGGTAGTCCCCGAGGGAGTTGATTTGACCGGTCTCCTAGCATTATACGATACCCTAGGTTGAATAGAGCACTACCCATCCACCGATTTGTTGTTCCGGATCATTCCCGAGGGAGTCCTTCTCCAAACGGTAGAGTATTTGAGTCGATCGAACTAGGAGGATACTCAATATCGATCCAAAGGTCGGAAATAGGGGGATTTAACCCAAGAGAGCTCCAAACCTTGTAAATAGCTAGGTTAGTGGTTAGTCTATGTTAGTTAGCTTAGTTTTATTAATCACTATCCAAGGATTGGCTAGATAACGAACGCTAAACCTGATGTAGGGTAAGCCTAGATCCTCGTGGTACGATAAATTCTTATTGCTTGCTTGCCATATGCTACACCCGATCGGCGGTTATACTTGGCCGTCGATTGGGATGTTGTAGTAAGAATGAGTCAACCCTTTAACATATTTTTAAATGTATGATTGAATCCACGAATTATTTCATGAGAGCTAGCTCTTTAACACGACGAACTAATCACATTTTACCTCTATATTCGACGAAGTTACTATGAAAGACTATTTGCACCTCTAGTCACGCCGTAACATGGTTCAAAGCATTTTTGGGGAGATTCTATATACCTAAGAGATACTTTTTGGTAATTGTGTTCGATAGGCAAATTGCTCGTGACAAGTTCTCAAATTGGGGATGTACTATGAATCTTGCTTGTGTGATGCGTCTATTAGGAAACGAGACTCGAGATAACCTCTTGTGGCAATGCTCTTTTCCTCTTTCATTTTTGCCAAACGCTTGCAGTTTGTTAAGGTTCCCATCCCATGTTTGATAGTTGGGATCAATAACTTTGTTGGGCAATTTAAGAATGGTCAGAGAACCCTTGTAGTGTGAAATTGGGTAAATTGGTTTGTCAAATGATACTTTGACTTACAGTCTTACACATCGTGAAAGGTGTAATCGGTTGTACGATGAGATACAAGCTATTTCTCTTGCCTATAGTATCACTCAAATCAAATTAGAGTTCATCGTTTGGCGAAAGGTAATTTTAAAGTACAAACTCCTTCTATAGGGCGTGAAGCGTTGGTTGTAGTGACAGTTAGCTCACTTCTCTTATTTTAGTTCACTAATACTGTTGGGATAAGGAATCCCAGTGACCAGAGGCCTAGAGTGTAAGAGCTCGTCGAGCCTAATACTAAAAGAAGGGCCCATCTGACCAAAGACTGATTACTATCTGCTCAGGCAAAAGACTCCAGAAAGCAATCAAAGGTGTCCATAGGTAAACTAGATTGTATCGAGACTCCGCACACACCTAAGAATGCATCGGGATAATCCACATGCATTGGGAGAACCGCCTACCTATTTTAAATGGTGTGAGAACCTCGAGGACAACATTTAATAATATATCATGCACCTTCTACTCTTGATAGACAAAACTCTTAGAGACGTCCGATAAAGCATTAAATGCTCTCAATCACCATCGAGCAATATAAATAGTCACTCGATCCTCGTTTATGGTAACGTGAACTAACTAATTCTCTCTTTTAAAGAATACTATTAATCTCTCTCTGACTAGATCGATGAAAGTTTCCCTAGGTGTGACAATGCATGCGGCTCTTTGTGTAGGTTCTAGGGGCGTCCATATTTGGAAATGAATGAATAATCACGAACGTGGGTTCACTTTCTCTCGTTGTAGAACAGTAAGAACTATAGGGATAAACAAATACATTGTAAAGTTATAATTTTACCACTAGATGTATGTTGAGAGGGGAACTTAATTGTTAAAGACATCCCTAACGTTTAATACCATTTTTGTACTAATAATTAAAGGGTTAATTGCATGGTTGGTCACTGAGATTACAAAATACGTTCAAATTTGGTCACTCGAAATATTTAAATCCATTGATGGTACTTCAATTTACGCAAACCGTTCACGTTTCGTCACTCTCCGTCCAACTCCGTTAACTTTGGCTGATGTGGTCGACCTTGCTACGGTGACTTGCAAGTCACCATGACTTGGACAAAACGGCCGACCTCTTCACTGATATGGTCGACCAATTTGGACAAAATGGTCGACCTCTTTGCTGGAATGACCGATCAGATGTACTATTTTCCATTTTGATATGTTCAACAAATGGTCGACCTCTTCCACTAAAAGGTTAAAGGTCGACCCACTTTACAAGAAAACGGCCTACCACTTCCATCAAGTAGTCTACACCAAGCGGTCCACCGCTTTCAATAATTGGTCTACCTGATGAACCATTGCTAGTGATATAATCATAAATAATTAGAGAACAACAATAATAGATATGCTTGCTAGCAAGATATTTAAAATTAGTACAAAGGATGCAAGCATAGATGACTAGTTTTTCGAGTGATTGTTCTCCCGTCGAGTTGGAAAATGTTCTGCATATTTATTTCTTATATTTGACTTACTCTATATAGACCAGGGTTGTCATGCCGGCCGGCGTGCCACCGGTTGTACCTGGTTCAACTTGTACCGGTCATAAAACCGGCGTGACACCACTGGTATGACCGGCATGATCGATATACGAATTTCTAAGTAAAATAATCTTATTTTAGTGACTTTAATTGTTAAAAATTATTTTATTATTTATTTTATGAGTATAAATGTTAAATATTGATGTTATTTGTTGGATTCAAGTATAAATGTTTAGGTATTGATGTTAAATGTCATGTTTAAAATGAGTATTTATAATTTAATTTGTAATATTGACCGGCATGAACCGGCACAAACCGGTATGTGCCACCGGTCGAACCATTCCACTTGCTAAACCGGCACACTGGCATAAACCAGTTTGACAACCTTGATATAGACTTTCACCTTTCCTTCAAATTCTAAGTTTGCTTGTTTTTTTTTTATCATATCATTGTCTTGTGACCGGTTGCCTCAAGTGGCAGACCACTTGGTGGAAGTGGTAGACCATTTTCTTGGAAGAGGTCGACCACTTGAAGGTAAATGTGTCTTCAGGCCAACCCATTTTCGTAAGCGGTAGACCGGTTGACTCAAGTATGGACATCACTTGGTGGAAGTGGTAGACCATTTTCTTAGAAAGTAGTCGATCATTTGGTGGAAGAGGTCGACCACTTGAAGGTAAGTGTGTCATCAGGTCGACCTATTTTCAGAAGCGGTAGACCGGTTGACTCAAGTGGTAGACCACTTGATGGAAGAGGCCGACCATTTTCGTTGAAAGTGGTCTACCATTTAATGAAAGAGATCGGTCGTTTTCTCCAAGTTATGGTAACATGCAAGTCACCATAGGCATACCCTAAAATATAAATTAACCCAAGAGTCGAGTGTTAATTGAATAATCTATAAAGATATTTTTTCCCAATGAACCAACCATTTATATTTCATCATAAAAAAACACAAAGTGTAACTTGTACAGGCAACACCCCTGCCTACTAAGTTGTATCACCCACTCTACCAAGAGACTACAATAACTGTAAATTTATTATGCTTGTGAAAGGAAAAAAAAACCTATCAGAGCCTACAGTGAGATCTTTAGTGCCAGAAAAGAGTTGTATCCACCCTAGTAATCACCTCAACTTCCTTCTTAATCATTCTAACCAGTTCCAACGCTGATTTTGATCTGCATCCATGCCTCATAGAGCACCGTTCTCGCCATATTGCACTCACCAATGCTAGCCATATCAGCTAACCTGTCATAGATAACACCGTTTTGCCCTTAAAAGTCGCCAGATCCCATTGAAGTTCGTCCTCCCAGTTATTCCCAGGTGTCCTGTTTGTAAAACCAGACATCAAACCAACAAACACCTTCTTGAAATAAGGACACTCAGCAAACAAGTGGGATCTAGTTTTCAGAGTGTGAGAACAGAAGCAACAGGAGAATGAACCTACAACACCCCACGTTAGCATCTTATCACATGTCTGTATAAGTTTTTTTTGCAATCATCCAGACCAAAAACTGGCTCTTAGGAATAGAAAGACCCTTCCAAACCAGATGAAACCAAAGAACCTGAGATTCCTTTGGCCTAAATTCTGTCCAAACTTCTTTATACTAAACTTCTTCATAACTTTCCCCTTCCACAATACCTCTGCTCCTGAAACAGTCATCAGTCTCCTGATTTTTTCTCTACTCTTGAGCAATTTGAGCCAAATCCAAGAGCCCGCCTTTGAGCTAACATCCCAAAAACTGTTCCCTTTCAATTTGTAACCCACAATGAACCCGCCTTCATAAGAATTTTCCAGATATGACCCATAACGCACGCAGAATTCCAACTGCATAAATCTCTTAAACCCAACCCTCCCTCCTGCTTTGGGAACACAATGAAATGCCAGGCAACAACTGCTTTTTTCCAACCCACAACACCAACTCCCCATAGGAAATCACTGTGTAGCCTCTCGATTTCCTTGATAACAGTCTTTGAAAGTATAAAACCCATCATCCAGAATTGAGTTAAGTTATAAAGAACAAAAAGAATCACTTGAAGCCGACCTGCATAACTCAGCGTTTAGTCTCCCATCTATGAATTCTTCGTGAAATCCTTTCCAGTAGAGGCTTACAATCATTTACAGTTAATTTCCCAGCAATCAAAAGGAGCTCCAGATATCTAATTGGCAATTTCCCCAATTTGTAACCAGCTCTTATTGCTATCTACTTCTGCCACTCAGGTGAAAGCGCTCCACAAAACAGTTCACACTTCTTAGGGTTGGATTTAAGACCAGGAAGTTTTCTAAACTGATCCAAGACTCTTTGAATACTCTGAATTCCATAGTTTGAACCATTAGAAAACAAGAGTAAATCATCCGCAAACATGATATGAGTAAGGTTAACCTCTTACACATAGGATGAAATGACATAACTTTCTTTTTAACAACTTTAGCCATAAGACAAGATAGAACTTCCATGGATATTGCAAACAAATAGGGAGATAGAGATCCCCTGTCTTAGCCCTTTCTTTGCAGCAAAATAACCAATCATTTCCCCATTAAAACCAACACTAATCTTAAGGGTGGTGACACACATAGCAATCCAATCCACAAACTTTGCAGGAAAACCAATCGCCAATAACACAGTTAAAAGGAAGTTCCAGTCAATGAAATCAAAGCCTTTCATAATATCGACCTTAATTATACTCCTAGGAGAAATATTCTTCCTTGTATACTTCTGAACCAGCTCATGGTTTAACATGATATTATCACCTATGATTCTCCCTTTAACAAACGCTGTCTGGTTAAGACTAATAATGGATGGCATGACAGAGCTAAGTCTTGTTGCATTAGTTTTAGATATGAGCTTATATAAAATATTACAGCAAGAGATAGGCCAAAATAACTTCATCTCTTCTGGAGTTTTAACTTTGGGCAGGAGTGCAAGAAAGGTGGAATTTACAGCACTAGGCATCCTAGATTCAGAAAACCAGAACTGAATAGCATTTGTTACCTTAGTGCCTATAATACCCCACGTTGCTTGAAAAAAACATGCACAGGACCAGGACTCTTGTCCCCTTTAAAACCAAATAGAATGCTTCTAACCTCCTCCTCCAAAATAGGTTTACACAATTCAATCCTCTGATCTTCAGACAATTTCTTAAGAATCAGCTGTTGGATCTGATCGATTTCCGTTCGAATCACTTCAGGGTCTTTTTCCCCAATAAGTTTTTTATAAACCTTTCAACAATATTACACATCCCATTAGTATCTGTTACCCTTGAACCATTTTCATCAAGTAAAGAACGAATGGTATTCCTACTCCGCCTAATTTTTACAGACCTATGGAAAAAACTTGTTTTTGAATCACCCTCATTCAACCAAATATCTCTGGACTTCTGCCTAAGAAATGACTCTTCAGCATCTCGCAATTCTTTTGTCTCCTATGCCAACCTTTTTTCATTTTGAAACGTTTCAGGAGAAGGATATTGTAATGCAGCAGCTTGAGTAGACAGTAACTCAACTTCTTTTAACCTCACCCTCCCCCTGAGATCAGAATATTCCTCTTTGTTCAACTTTTCAGTACTCCTCTAAGGACTTTCAACTTTTAGCACACCACTTCCAGTGGAGACCCCAGACACTGTGTGCTCCAAGCCTCCTTAACCAGATCCCAGAACTGAGGATGTTTCATCCATAACTTAAAAAACTTAAACGGTTCGGGGAGTGGCTTAATAGAACAATAAGTATTGACCAAAATAGGACAATGGTCAGATACTGAAGGATTTAATAAGTCCACTATACTAGAAGAGAACTTTTCGAGCCATTTGAGGTTAACAAACATCCTATCCAGCCTTCTGGCTATTGGATTATTCTCCTGCTTATTAAACCAAGTAAACCAAGGACCAGAAGAACAATGCTCCACAATTTCCAAATCAAACTGACACTTCTTAAAATTAGACATACTAGAATCAGGGATAGGAGAGTTAGAGGCTTCACCTATATCTCCAATAACATTAAAATCTCCAATCAAAATCCATGGCTCTGATTGAACTTGCAACTGTCGAAGTTGATCATATAAAACCCTTCTTCGAGCCTCATCATTAGAAGCAAAAATGACTGTATGGAAAACGGCATGCCAAACCCTACCAACACATGAAAAAACTGATCAGACTTCTCAAGAACTCTGAGCTTAACATCCTTTTTCCAGACCAAACATATTTTACCCAACCCAGCCTGATTATGAGCAACCCTTTTTTCCCAATCTGGAAGTCTTGTGGCAAGCAACTTCTCGGCTTTGTCAACCTTCACCCTTGGCTCTAAACTAGCTACTATATCTATATTATGCTTCTTTAGTAATTATTCTTATCAGGGGCTAAAAAAACCCTAGTATTCCACGTGAGTAACTTCATTTACGCCTTACCCCCTACCACCTTTCTTTGGTGCAGGGACAATCACAGGAGACTTCATCTTCTTTCAAACTGAAACTGTAATCCATGGATTCCTGCTATCCTCCTGATTAGCTAGAGTATATTGAGAAGGAAGCCTCCCATCATCTGGTGAGCTCCCCTCAGCAACCTCAAGTTGAGTAGCTTCAGGGTTTCCAGTACCAACTGACGAACCTTTAACTATCTCAACAAAACTCATTACCTGATCCCCCATTGACGTAGGGACGGAGTCATCAGCAACAACCTCCATTACATCTTCAGCCACCTCATTGCCACCCGAGCTCCCTGCAAACCTTTTTGGTTATTCACTGCTCATCACTTGTTTCCCAATCATATCAGAATACCCTTCCTCAACAGCCTTCCCTACTACACTTTCACAATTAGCACCCTGCTTAGCACTATTGCCCTTAGGAATCCACTGCTTCCCACTAGACACCACTTTATCACAATCATGACCATACACCTCACATTTCGGACACACCAAAGGTTTATTCAGGTACTCAACTTCAATCTCAAACGGAGGGTCATCATCAGGATACAACTTAACTTGAGACGGAAACCCATAATCAGCAACTAAATAAACACAAACTTTCGCACAACCAAGTTGATTCCCAACCCTTGTTGTCTGATCCATCCAAACATGAGGATACTATATTCAATTCCTTCAAACGAGTTATATTCCAAAGGAATACCCAAAATTCTAACCCAAATCGGTAGAACTTCCACTTGAGGAGCCACCGGTTGAATACCAGGAACCTATTTACGGAAATAAATTTGGTTACCTTGAAAATGGCACGGCCCCGAACGAAAAATCATTTACTAGTACCTGCAGACGGGAATTGGAAGACCAACAACTTGGGACCAAATCTAGAAACTTTCACTTGGCCATCCCTTCCCCATAGACTCGTTGCCCACTGTTGCAGAAGGCCAATCTTCAAATTTGGACCAACGAATTGCCCTATAAGACAATCCTTCCACAACTCCTCACCTCTTTTTCTTCACTTCCCGGGGAATGCAAAAACCATCATTCACCCTTTTTCGAGGATGAAACTTCATCCTATTAGCCGAAGGGATATCAAAGAGAGACGCCCATGTCACTGCCTCTCCAGTCGAAGCAGAGGCCGACGGAGGGGCCACCATTACGGCGAGAAAACAGAACCCTTGTCGAAGAATGCACGAGAGGAGAGAGAAGAGAGAAAAAAGGGAGAAAAATGGAACCCTTCTATAAAGATATTATGTAGGAAAGTAGGGACTAAATTCAACGAAAAAAAGAATGTAGGGAGTAAAATAAAAGGTTGGAATATGAGATAAATTTTACATTTTTTTAGTGATATAAATGACCAAAATGATGAAATGAAAGCATTAGAGAATTAATACATATGCACATAGTTGGACTATTTAAGATCAAATTATGGAAATATCAACCCTAATTTTTCTTGGGTTTGGAGATTATCCACAAGAAGCAGTTCTATTCGGTAACCTTATAGTTAATGAACATGCATAACCTGCCATATTATCATCTACGGATGGCTTCTAACTTTTTCGCATATAAATTTTAACAGGCTATTACTCTTTCATTTTAAGTCATAATTTAATTTTTTCACATATAAATGAGATTAATTTGCATAGATAAATCATATTAATTTTGCTATCCAAAATGATATTCACTCTGATATATTTTTTAAATAAAAAAATTTGAGGCATTTAGTATCAGTCTATACCACGTTGGTAATACTTGGTATTACATTATATCATATCGTGTGGTACGGAAGTGTAAGATGATCATGATTGAATACATGATAGTAGGAATATACGAACTTTCATTTATCACATTCGTCGTTGTTTACCACCTGTAGAAATATAAGAACTGACATTTACCACATTCTCGTTGCACTTTGGGGGAAGGGGGAATTATTCCCAGTGGCCACTGCACTTGGGGAATTATTCCCAATGACCGTTGGGGGAAAAGACAGTCGGGGGAATAAAATTCCTAGTGACCGCCAGCGGGAATTATTCCCAAGCACCGACGGGAGTGAAAATGAGGGGGCCGACCAAGTTATTTTTTAGTTTTATTTGTTGTTTAAATTAATAAATTAAATAATCATGCAATTACTACATTACCCTTCATTAAATTGGATTAATCTGAGTCATTGAATTTTAATGAAGTGGAAGAGCTGAGATTCACTTAGTCATATGAATAAGGCACCCCTTAGTCACCTGATCTTAGTCCATGATGATGATGCATCATGCAAGGGACTAAGAGGGGAGGATGACATAATGACAGCGATAACCGATGGTGTTCCTGATGGAAATATCCAACTCACCCTTCACCAATTTATCTTTCCATTTTTCTTTTACTTTAAAAATTTCTAATTAGGTTAATGAATTTGTTTAGTAAGAGCATTAAAAAGGAAATAAATTGGTCAATAAGAATTAAGATTTAAGAACTTTGAAAAGGGAAAAAAGATTTGTTTTTATAATAATGGATGCAAACAAATTTGAGTTTGTGGAATGATTTCACATTTTCATTATTAAATTTTAGTAATAAATAGAGCACAAAAGTTGAAGAATTCAGAAATTTGTACCCCAAATTAAGCCCGTAAGATTAGTGATTTAATGGCTAAATCAAAATTAGTACAAAAGTTTGTCATCACATTCTCTGGTATGTTGGTTAATTTGTGAGGTATTAAAATAAATTACAAAATCCAAATGAACTCCTGAACCATAAATTTATCATAAAGTTTTTTTACTAATAAAGCTTAATTAATAAAAGAAACAACTCCAACAATCGTGCTTTGTTGGATAGTTAGTAAACACTCTGTTTAATACACGCATATGTACCCGTATGTATTTTATCCGTTTAAAACTTTCGTATCCATTGAAAGAAAGAAACCCACCGCAGCCCCTGGTACTGTACACGCAGACACCTTTTACTGTACAACGTGACTGAGAATTACTGTTTCAAACTGGCGTGTCCTTCGGTGTGGGCTAGAGTTGGGTGAGGTCTCATTGGAATATAACAGAGTTTGGGGGCTCGGTCGGGGTGGGACTGGTGTTTAGCTTCTGGTTGGCCTTCGTTGGGGTCGTTTGGTGGCTCAGACGCGCGTTGGTCATCAGAGATCAGTGTGTGTCTTTGGCCCTATCGGGCGCGTTGGTCGAGGCACTCTGGTTGTACACTGGGTGGGGTCTCATTGGGTGGGTGGTGTCGTAATCACGGAGAGATTGATGCTTTTGGTGGAGTAGCTGGAGGGTGAGTGCTTAGGTCTCCGTTTGGAGGTGGGAGTTGTGCCAGGTTCGTGGCTCAAGGTGTTGGAGGTGACTGGGTGGGGAGGGTGAGCGTCGCTCCTTCTCCAACTCCTGTCTCTCACCTCAACTTTTCCTCTCTCTCTCTCT